TTGATGCTTTGCCTTTGCTGCTTAACACCGCTGCAGCAATGGCCGTTATATATAGTGGCTTTCTCTCCGTTGAGAGTCGGTTAGAGTATGCTGATCCTCTTTCTGTGCAACCCTGTGAGATGATTGGTTGCAAAAGCAAAGCTCGGTCCACTGGCTTTCCTCAATGTGTGCGTATGGCTGAGGTAGCAAGTGCAATGCCATCACCGGCATCGTGTCGAAGCAGCCCTTCGATCAAGAAGCACAGGCAGCGGAGATCAGGGATTAAGGACTTCTTCGTGCCAATCCATGATATACATATCAGAGAAAAAATATGTTTATATAACTGTTAAGTAGCAGACAATGGTAGACATTGAGCTTCAACAGTCAAGTTGACACCTTTAGTGATGTCAGATATTCTTCTTGGGTGTGCGAAGGTCGTACCCAAATGTTTGCGGGAATCAGGGCCTAGAGAGATCACGCTGGAGAAGGGATGTGGGCACCGACCGGCAACCAAACACCCATTCCAGGAGTTATATAGTTACACTGGTTGCACAATGCGCATCCCAACATCACTTGAAGATGAAGATCTTTTGTTTCCCTGATCCCATCTATTTGCAGGTGGAAGTTGCAGAAAACAAGAAACTCCGTCCAAGCCTCAGAACCGTGAAAAGCGGAGGTTCAGGAGGCGGAATCTTCATGAATCTTCGGGTTCCTCTTGGGTTTTAGATGGAAAGAGCTTGATGTGAAGCTTCATCCCAGGATTCTTTATGGCCGCCAGGCAGCAAGACACCTGGTTTGTGCCCGGGGCCCTGGTCAACTGCTTGGCTTGGAAACGGTGGGGGGCTCTAGCCCGAGCAGCTCTCATCCCACGAGGTTCCCCATGGTTCATAGGGTTCCGTTTGGGACCCACACTTGTCATTTTTCGCCACTTTAGTTGGTCAGTTGACATCGGTGCACAGTGCAGTGCAGATTGTTCAACGGGATGGTGCCGGGCACGTAGCTGCCTGCGTGTTGTGCGGTTGTATGTCAGTGGTCCAGCCCTTGTGCAGGTCCTGCCATGTGCCACTGGTGGTCGGGAAGACGGTAGCGCCAAAAGCCAACGAGGAGCTTTGGCTTGGGGACGGCTTTTGCCTCCCATGGGTTCAAATCCGAGGGTTCCTGGCTACTCACAGGAAACAAGTTGCTCCAACATGAACAGATCTACCGCAAAACCAGGATTGCATAGGAGTTTGTTTTCCTTCTGTAGGACTCAGGTACCAATAGCAATTACTCAATTGATTTCAATAGCTATGGTGTTGTACAAGAAGAGAAGATTAGTACTTGTTGTTTAGGACATATCCTTGAGGCATGTTGGGGCTACTTCCCAACCCGGCTGAGGGTTCGATAAGTCATGCATGTACTTAGCCAACCGAGAACACAATCGAAAAAATCACTTCTGAACTATGCCATGCTGTGTGTCCCCGCCGTTCTGTGGTTGGTTAGCCATACTTATTTGCCCCAAGCGTTGGCCGAAGAAAGAATCCGCCACAACAGAACCTGGCTGAAGATGAACTTGACAAATGATGTGAAAAGGTCACCAACAATTGATAACAATTCTATACACCTCCAAGCAGTTCTGCCCAACCCTTTGCAGGACTTGGCCACCAAAGTGCTTGAGCAGATCGCCTCCGATCTACCAGGCGGCGGGTCAATGGGTCGATGCCGTTTCCGTCCGACCCCACGTGTCGGGGACCGGACGGGCCGGAAGGCCGGCTCCACAGTGTTTTGCACGTGGCCGAACTGATTGAATTCGCCTTCATGCAATGTGGTGAAAGTTCAAGAAGTTAGCGAATTGCTTTGTTAGAGTAGGCTGCAGGCTTAGCTTCATTGATGGTCGAAAAGTATTTTGCATGTTTCTTTGGTCGAAGTCAACACTAGACTCACCAGACTGCCGGTGACCCCACCAACCTTCTTGTTGGAGCGGGAGTTGTGCAAAAAACCAAGCGCCTCATCATCAGGCCTCAACTTTCCCCCACAAGAAAAGTGGTGCGACGTAAGAGGTAGGGAGTTCTGAGCTGGCTGACGCGGATTGTGTGTGTGTTGAGTGCTGTTCTCTTCTGAGAGAAAGACCTACAATTGCTGACATTGTGGTCCCCCGGTATGTTTGGGCTGGACTTCCCCTCAAACAAGTTATCCGGAGTTTTGAAGGTGAGGTTCCTTTGCCCTTTGCCTTCGGATGCTCATGACTCGGTTTTGGCAGGATTCCTACAGAAAGTGCCAGTGTGGTGACGCCCTCCAACGCAGGTGCACGCACTCTCGTCGCCGGCGGCGATTGGAACGCGGATGTTTACGAGGCCAATGGGGGGAAGCTATCATGGAACGGAAATGGCAGGCCAACTCAAGCACAATTTGTTGGGGCGCTGGCAACATCAGCAACATCCAAACATATAGATCATCCGGGAACATGTTTGATGGTGGGTCAATGCGCAAGGCCACCGGGTCACCATCAAAGACCCCCATCACCATGGTGGATGTCGGCGGTCCAGCCCAGCGAGCCATCGGTCTTTTCAGGTGGCTTCACGCAAGCCGACCGGGCGGCTATTTGGCTTGTAGATGGTGCTGAGCTGGTGTCAATCGGGATTGAGATGGGTCAAAGCGGGCCTCGTAGATACCTCAGGTGGATGTGGGCGGATGCATGCAAAGCAATTACGTGTTGGATGTTGAACCATATTTGGGGGTTCTGTGTTCAGGAGTGTGTGCAGAAGCACCTACAGTATTCATCACAGATGCCTCTCTCTCTATATATATATATATGATCCTATTATGTATGCTTTTCCAGTATGAAGTCGTTGCATATATTGTACGAGAAGACTGATCCATGGACAGCATATGGGGCTGTTGTTTTGCATTCCAATAATGATTGGACCTCTCAACCAGAGTGTCGCAGTGCATGAGACGGGGCAGTCTGCAAGACATGGATGCATAGCATGTTATATATACAAGTATCATGATGCAATTGGCTTCGCTGCTTCAGTCCTTTAGCAGTTCTTGGGCTGCTAATGTTGCTCCCCCAGAACCATTCGCGGGTTTGATGAAACGGAGCTGAGCAGAGGTCCATTTGCACCTCAAAATCCGCAAGGGTTCAATGTGAAAGCCTCCTTGCCCTTGCCAACCTCCTTGCGAAGGCCACTGCCTTTCCAGCCTGAAAGCTTTTAGTGTTTTCGTCGCGACAAATGGCTGCTTATTTTGCCTTTAGTACACTATTATGAAATAATCGTCATCGTGCTGTTGTTGGCTTGAATGGGTGCTGGCCCTTGAACTCCCTAGTCTCCAGACGCGTGGCCTCGTCTCGTGCCGCATCCGAGGCCTTTGCGTGGCGCCCTCAGACCGGCAGCGTCAACGGCCCTCATTAATGTGCGTTTGTCATTCATACACTTGGTGGTGCATTGTTTGTGGGGGACCTCTATGGGGCAATGCCCCAACGGAGGGGGAGAGGGAGGGAGGGAGAGAGAGAGAGAGAGAAAGGAACAACGAGAAACTGGGTGGTGAGGGAAATAGAAAGAGTGAGAAGGTGGTGAGAGAAACAAAGTTTGTTGTGTTGCACATGATATGGTGATCCCACTCATAGATAAAAGACAGTGTCACTCCCAGAGCCCCCACGTTGGAATCGAACACCGAGAAAATCCCAAACACGTATAAACACGTCCACTTCGCACGAACAGGTCAGTCACGTATATACCTACATGGCAATGGATCATAAGTTGAAACACGGACCATTTTGGCAAATGTGGTGTGTTCAACAAAAGATCCGTTCTTTCGAGACTGGCCACTTTGGCAAGGAATCTGTAGAACCAAGAGTCCTACTTTATACAACAACAGATCGGTCAATGCATTTGGAATGATTTTGTCGGCCTTTGACGCCTATATACATGCTGGATCCTACCCCAATCAAGCGGCCTGTTCATTGTTTTTCGCTTTCACACGGACACGCATGATTGAACTGAGGAGCTCAACTGTACTCCACCCAGCTCACAGGTAAAGGTAAAGATCAGCCCTCCGTTTGTGAGGTCTTTATGCACCCAGTGGACGCACCGCCTTTGGCAATCACCACACCATTGACGGTGTGTTTTGCCTGTCGTAGCTACGAGAGCGGGACGCGAACTGAGGCCAGCCAGTGCCTTGCAGACCAAAGGGGCCAGATTATCCAACTCCTGCAGTTTGCGAAAACAGGAGAATGACTCAAGACTGTTCCTTCCAAACAGTTTGGTTTGGCCACAGTACTATGGCAAGTACTACTTCAAACAGGAGGAGCCTGTGGTCAAGTCGACTTCGGTACGGCACCACCTGGGGCTTCGACATCTATTAGTTTCATTTGTTTTCGTTCAAGATGTCGTTGGCTGCAATCTTTTCAAGGAACTGGCAGGGCCTGGCTCGTGCAGAGTACCTGGTCCAAAGTGACCCTGCCTGTGGTTTAGAAAAAGCAATCGAGAAAAAGAAGCTGAAAGCGCACCGGCCAACAGCTGCTAGCCCACGACGCTTTTCTGCCGGGCACCTCCACCCGAGGACTAGTTGCAACGGTTCACAGACACAACGTACCACACTATGCTATGGGCATGGCCCACCAATTGGCAGGTTTGCCGCAATGCTGAAACACTTTGTGTGATGCAGGTGGTGCACATGAGCAAGTACTGAAGCTATGCGTACTCAACACTCCGCTTTAAAGCGGTGTAGAGTGCACAACCGCTCCCGACTAGACATGTCATGGAACACTTCGATTTTGCAGCTGGAACTTGCGGTTTTGAGCCCTTTTTCCGGCAGCGAAACGAGACAAAGACGTAACGGAACGACCATGTGGTATCATTAGGATCAAATTTTGGCTCTCATTCAAGGAGGGAGGTCCCGACTTTTATGATGTATAGTCAAGCTATGTCAAGCTCTTGGTTGGCCAAAGATCAGAGGAGTCCACTGTGAACAGCATGCTTTAGTGAGACATTCCGGTATCCCTGACCAGTTCCTTCAGGTTTTCCTCGGGTTCGACCGAGGCTGGCCCAATGGGCAGCCACCCGCAGGGACCTGCTGGGGGCCAAGTCTGTGAGAAGGTCCTGCATGTCTAACCAGCAGTGTGCTTCTTCCGACTCACTAGCATAAAGAACGGAACTCCCTGTTGTAATAGAGCAACATGGTCGGTCAATTTCCACTTCCATGCTCGTGAGTCAGAGTCTACTCCTACAGACGATAGGGGATGAGAGAGCATCAGATCGATCGCGACCGGGACACTCGCTGTACCGATATGGAAAACAGACGACCCATGGCAGTTTTGTTTGAATAGGACGTGGCTTGACCTGTCCTAAAGATTCGTCAAGTTTTTTGTGGATGAGTTCAACATATAGACCGAAGATGTGGCCGTGGGCTCTTAGGTCTTGGATTCAATATTTGCCCCTTACTACTACGTCCCGGCCGCTCACACTTGCTACCTCGACATCCCAAACGAGGTTTCCGGATGCCGTTTGTGCTGCCTTAGGCCGTGCGGATCCCAGATCAAGCCAGGCATGGAATTTCAGCATGACGATGGCTCGAAACCCGAAGGACCCGTGGATTTTAGATGATTTTAGTATTATTAACATTTTGGTGTAATAACATTGTGACCCATGGATTTGAGTCTCAAAATCTTTATGTCCGTGCTTTCCATGTACTAAGTAGGTTTCGAGTCTGGGGTCTGGAGTGTTCCAGTCTGGGATACCCGATTTTTGTTAGCTCTGGCCACATGTGCATCCACCACGTTCTTTGCTGGTTTCATGAACTGAGGCATGCACGAGTCGGTGAGCGCCCCCTGGTCTCCAGCCTCAAGCAGTTCGGTTTGGTGCTGCTGTGGGAGTGAGGCAATATAGGACTATCGGATTGTCCAGCTGCATCCTAACGTTTATTGTTCCTTTGTTGTGCGTTTGTTCAAAGACAGATAAGACAGGGGGGCAGCCAAGCATTTCTACTCCAAGGGTTGGAAGATCAAGACTAGTCTGGAGAGGGGTGGACCGATATTCTTGTCCTCCTTCGACTTGGGGGCTTGGAGTTTTAATCGGCGGCACGCTGGATGGGATTGATGAACATTGGTCCATTTCTGTTGGTTCCAAGTAACCTTTGGGACTCATTTGTGGCTTCCCTCTCCGCGTGGACCTTTAAGTGGGTGGCAGCAACTACATTCACTTGATGGAAGGATGTGGAGCTCATAGTGCATCATCCCTTGACTCGGAAAGCCTGCCGTCAGCCCACGAGGTCCAAGACCATCGAGCCTGCCGAGGCCAGCAGAGGGTGGAGAGTATCATGTTTGCAGGTGATGTTCGCCATGTCGCTGCAGTCTTGTGCATCTTCTGGGAACCGAGATTAATCGGAGCCGACCATGGACCCTCATAATCCAGTTAATGAAAGTCCTATTTGTTGCTGTTACTTTTGTTGATGCAACTTCAGATGCCTTGTTGCATTCTGGCTGGTTGGATTATGTTGGATTGGCCCACCTCAGCAACCCATCGAAATCTGAACAGCTGCTAACTCCACTCAAGAAAATCCTCGAACTCCCCTTTGGCTGTCCCTTCCTCCAACTTCACCCAGCAAGAGTTGCGCAGATCTGGATGAAAACCCCCCAGCTGACGCCGTGAGGTGTGTAGTTCCTTACGGAATGCCGAGATGGATGTGGAGTCCTTGGACTCGAGGAGCGGGGCGAGTTCGGGACCTGCAATCCATGCCCCCCCGCGAGTTCAGGAGGGTTCTCTAATCAATCCAACACCATTGTAGAACCATGTAGATGATTATAGAAAACCATGTAGAATCATCTATAATCATCTCAACATGTCGTTTTCTCATAAACAACCAACACCATTGTAGATGATTTGGGGAGGAACATGAGTGCATGGATCAGTGATCCGTGAGAGCCAAATGTCGCAGTTTAGGAGCTGCACGTCATTCTGGGCTGCTCTCGCTTGGTGCATTGTAACCTTAGTAAGGGCTACCTCCATGTTACCTTTCGACGAAGGGTATGGCAACTGGGAGATTCGGGGGGGTCCGCGTATCGACACCATGGTGAACCACTGAAACACCACGTGCAGGGTTCCATGTGCAGGCCATATGCGAGCGGGAGCATGGCAGAGGCCAGGCTAGGGTAATCGGACGCAGGTTCCTACCAACCCGTTTTGTGGTTGGAAAGTCTTCCATGTGATATTCCATTTCATATATTCCATTTGATTCCATGTGAGTCGAAGGCCTGTAGCGTTTACACGAGCGAAGGATGAGGAGTCGGCTGCGCGATTCTCACTGATACATACATACAGACTGATACTATCGTTGATAGCACCTGAACCTGCTTGTTGAACTCCGGCTTCAAGGCTCTACCAAAATATAATAACAGTAGAACTTTGGGGCGCTTTGTCTTCACAAGAAGCTTGCAGAAAGAAGCCTCATAAACCCCTCTTCTTTTGAGATGACTCGTTTGATGGTAAGCAGCAGTGGAGCGTGTGATGTCTCGTGCGATATGTTCATCCAAGACGTGCCTCCGCAAAGCTTCAAGAAGGCTTTCACGGCTCTACAAAGTACTATATGCAGGAAATAATAAAGGATTGAAAAGGTCAAAGCAGACCAGGTACACGCCTGCAGGGCAGACTGATCTGGATTCTGAAGCCTCGTGCCTCCCTCGTGCCTGGTGGTTTGCAACGGCCACACTCGCCGCCACCGTGGTGGGTTCACCTTTCGGCGGCGACCGCAAGGTCTACTTCGGCACGTTGAAAGATGGTACAGAGGTGGCGGTGAAGTGCATGAGGCGAAACAGCGAAAAGAATGGAAGCGAGACTGAGGTGGAAAGGATCCCCGTGTGAATTTAGGTTGATGATGGTTGATGTTATATGGAGCTATATAGAATATATATATATACATAGTTAATATATATATATATATTAAATAAGGAATCCTCATCTCAAGTCCTCGATGAGTTTCTGCGCTGACTCCAAATTTGTTGTAGACCTTGATGTATAGTAATGCTCAATCACCTGTGTGGAGCCTTGCATAAACAATGACAAATCCAGTGGTCTCAGAATGTCCCAGAACCACCGGCATTGGATCCTGGCCATTATATTGTGTCCGTGCTGTGGTTGCGGTCCTCGTCATCGTGGTTGTTGTTGTTGCTGTTGCTGCTGCTGCTGCTGTTGTTTCTCAAATTCACCGGCTTTTATTGATAGCCTGTTTCATTTGCTATTCCTTCGCTTGTGGTTGCACACATTTGTGCTGCGTGGTCTTGGTGGTTGGCATCGGTATTTCGCTAGTTTTGTAGGTGCTTGCGGGACCCCTCCACACCTTTAGCCCTTTTCCGTCTCCGTGCTAAAGGCCAGGGGTCAAGCACTTGCTCGAAGCTGATTTGGCCTGGCTCCTGCGCCCGGGCCCAAGTAGGCATGGTTTTGGGAACTGACAAGATGTTTGATAAGTAGTGGAACCAGTACAAATCATGCAAGAGTCATGCAAACAGCAAACACCAGTGTGTTTTCCTACTTACTTATGCAGTCCTTTGCTAGAAGATCCTCGTGCATGCTCGACACGGTTTTCCACAAGCAGAGGCAAGCAGGTCCTAGGCCCTAGGCTCTCAGAAAGGTCTTCAGATGTCGCCAACAGGTCTCACGGTGATGTTCCACTCTTGTGGCTTTCTACGTGTGCTTGGTATGTTAGTTTGAGGGAGTGCGCCGAGAATGTCAGAGGGACTTCGCTAGACGGTCGTCTCTCCATGCTTCAACGCACAGAACCTGGACCTCTTTGGTGCAGGGCTGCTGCGCTTTCTTACGCCACAGCATGCTATTCCAAAACCCAGACTTTGTTTAAACTGGTGGGTTGTAACAGTGAGCTGTTATTTATGAATCTATAATACTATATATATTTTTTTTTAAGTTGTTAACTATAATTTACAACCACGATTAATCATTGAAACCGCCCTTGAACATGTTCCTTTTCTTTGTTTACAATGGGAAATGCCGTGCCATGCGCTCCCTATGCCTTCGGCCAAGAAGGCCTCAGTAGCTGGGCCGACTCGCTGGAGCCCTTGCGCTTGTCAGGGGGGCCGAGTCAGGTCCGGTTCGGTGAACCATTAAGGGAATCGGTGAAGTTTCACGGGTTTCCCATGACAAGAAGCAAGAGGTTATGGATCGGTTTCGGGCTTGGGATGGCTTTGGCCGGCTTTTCTTCGAGTTTTGGAGTCTGGTTTTGCGGCAACGAGTGGTTTAAAGCTGACCTTAGGCTTTGGAGGGGGCTTGGACTTGTAAGGATGTTCAAGATGTTGGTTACTAGGACGGCCGAATGCTTCCGGGAACAGTTAGACTCGATGGATCTCCCATGAGGGCTGGATCTGGTCCTGCGAAAACGCGTCAGTCTCTTTGGATTCCCAAAGGGTGCAGGATCCCAGACTCGATCTCGTTTGACTCGTGCAACAAGATTTCGCGAAAAACGGGGTTTTGTCAATCAAGCAACTATTGGTTTGTTTATGTTTAAGTAATTTTTGGCGGCTTGCATTTTTATATCATTTTTGTGTTGCGCCTTTTGCTTCGTCACACTAACGCCGGTCCATATCGCTCCAAATGTTCACATCGCACCGCAACGTGTCGTCGGCAGACCAAGCAAAACCCCAGAAACGATCTAGAATCTATCCTAGTGGTATTTCTATGCCTGCATTCCAAGGGCAGGATGTTCAACTCAAAGCCAATTGAACCAAGCTGACTGCTCCTAGGCTTCATTTAGGAAAGGCAGCGGAGGAGTTCTGTGAGCAAGTGCAGATGCAGACGGTGCGCCCGGAGGGAAGATCGTTTGTCAGACAACACCCGGGAAGGAATGAAGCAAATGTATGTTTAAGGAACAGCCCCGCCGCCAACTGATTAAAGAAAGTACTGTATTTAATGTTGAAGATTTTTGAAGTATTTGTTTCGTGATTGCAATATCTGCGAGATGTTGTACATAGGAGTCTTCAAATAGGGTTGCCATGGCATCCGGTGGATGTCTTCCGCAAAGTCGAGCTGTGCAAGATGTTCCCAATTTAGACCGTCTCAGGATACAGGCAAACATGTCTTGAAGAGCTTCAACAGGAAGAATCTTAGATCACTGGTGTTTCTGTCTCCTGATCAGAATGTTGTCCAATTCGGAACCATCACTTCAGAAAGAGGCACCCAGTGCAATAGATGGAAAGGACCTGCATGATAATCTCAGTGCAAGATCACACCAAATCTCAGTGGTTTTGATGCAAACTGGGCCTCCTAAGGCCTGTACAAAAAGTCTTTTGCCACCATCAATGCGCAGTGCCAGGATTTCCGAACAGAGGCCTCGCATTTGTCGAGACCTCATGCCTCAAGCTATTTGATGCACCATCATGTGCAACGGATGCTTTGAAGAGTCAGTCAGTTACTGGATAACACTACGTAGGGGTCAACGCTTGTATGCACACCTTAGCTGCTGTTCGCACCTGTTCACGGGCGGAAGGTGATGATAACTAGATCGGTTCGGGCTGGAGAACGTGACCAGAGTCGCCATTTATTTGTCTGCTCCTAGATGCAGTGAGGCAACACTGGCAATCACTGACCCACTTGGTTACTGGGGCAAGTACATGATTGCCCTTCAATTCCCCAGCTGTTTGACCTGCGGCCAGCTGCCAAGGCAGCAATTTCAATGCAACTTCAAAGGGCTTACGTCTGGCTCTTGGTGGGCGATTTTCGCATGTTGTCATGTTGTCTTCCCTGGGTGACCCTGTGTGTTCTATGTTGGGATGTTTTCTGCATTCTTTCTCACATCAGGAGCATGGTGTCTCGGTGTCATAGAGGGGTCCCGGTGAGTGATGCCACTGGAAGATCACCATGCTCTTGATGTATGTAACAACGTTAGTAGGTAAAACTAAGATCGCCAACGTTGATCATGAGATCCCAAGAATCTCTAAGAAAGAACTAACGTGTAGCGGCACTGGCCTAGATTTTGCCGACCTGTCCCAGCTGAACATGTACGAAAAGACAGCGTTTTGACATGACATTCGCATCAGTATCCAAAGTGCTTGTAAAATCCCCCCACCAGACTTCGCAAGACATGTACTCAGAGTAGAACACACACACACATCACCAAAAACAAAACGATTGCCGTTTCAAGCTACTTGGTGGTCAACTGATAGCTCTTTCTTATGCTTTGGCTTCCAGAAGTTGAGCATTGGCGCCCAGGTCCATTCGTTTCCCATCTCCACTCTACGCATCGCCAGGGACTTGTGAGAGATACGCTCAGTGTCATAGATAGTGGCGATAGGAGAACTCCTCATGGCTAAGAGCTAAGGTCATAGAACGTATATATACATATATATATATATGCGTTTTTTCCAGCGGATATGGCTCGGGGAGGGAACAGTTGAATTGAAAAACAAGAACAACTACTGTATACTTAGAGTTGATCAAATATGAGCATTTGACATGATTTGATTGTTTTTTTCTTTTGGTACAGCCCGGTATGCAACAACAGCATTTTTAGCGGCCACACAATGATCGAGTCAAGTGATGACGTCAAGTCCAGCAATATGCCTAGCCTAGCCCCAGCCTTTTGGTGGTCAATCATGGAGAATCACTTACTGTACATCAGTTGCTGCTAGTCCTAGAATAGCTCCCGGGCCAATCCCAAAGCGTTCGTTCCGCACCTGCCTCAGGCAAGAGATCCTGGTCCTCTCGCGTGAGATGGGGCAGGAGTTGGCAACTCAAACTCGGACCTGATGGGATTCCAGGACACCCATCATTGAATCCATACTCTGTTTTGAATTCTTAGTCTTGGCAGATTTGATTTGCCCGCCAGGAGAGGGACCACAAGTACGTAATAAGATGCAATAAGTAACGACAAGATACGACCAGTGAGGCGATCGAAGATGATTCACTCACCGACCTGGAGGTGGAAGATGGAGGGAGGAGGAAGACCTCCCCATTCCACCAGGTTCCACATGCCTTTTCCGTGATTTTAGGGTCAAGGAAAAAGAGCCTGGATTGAGATTTTGTGTTCACCCGAACCACGAGGCTCTCGCGGGTCTTTCGAGACGCAGTGGCGTTCGTGCTCACCTTAGTTCCACATTGGCCACCAAGCCCCAACAGTGGAGCGATCAGTGGAGAGCGATTGGAGAGGACCTCCGAGCGATCAGCAGTACAAGTACAGGTTGACATGGGTCCGCACAGGGCAGTGGTTTCGGAATCGAACAAGTCTCCTGTGTTAAGCAGCTCGTGCGAGAAAGGTGGAGTAGCAGTTCTAGCGGTCTAGCGCAAATGCAAAAGGATAGAATGACTCCATTTTTGAACATGGATGCACAATACAATCAAGCCTGGCCCTCCAGAGATGTGAATGTCATCGGCAATGCTTGGAATGTCTAGGCTTTTCATGGCTTCCAAAATTCCACATGTAGCATATAATAGTATATGTATGTATAGTTTTGTATATTTTATGTGTATATAAATATATATTATGTTTTTTTGTATATATGTATCAAGTGGTGCAGTGAATTCCCGTAGGTTTCCGTGGGCCTTGGTCTACGCTGAGAGAATCTGAGAGACCACCCTCGCACCCACGACCCACGGCCATTGCAAGGGCCAGACCAGCGACGAGAAGACCACCCTTGCGCAGCATTCGGTGCGTATGGGAGTTTGGAGCAAGTGCTTTTGTGTGGCCCCATCATGGGTTTGAGGACCGAGTCAGTCTCAAACACCTATGGATGTCATGTTGTGTGTTCCAACAGGGTTGAACCAAGACATTATTGATCATTGATGTTTGATGCATGGGTGTACATGGCCGTGCCATATGGGCAGCTTGGTCGTGGATCCCACAGGTGATCGTCCAGCGGCTTTTGGGGATCCCACAGGCGGGGCGGTCGACGGTCGGACTCCAGGCTGTTCTCTTCTGTGGGTAGTGGCAGTAGTAGCAGTGATCATGGCACAGTGACATATCTTACGGGTCGGTAAACAACTGTCACCATTTTAGAGACAAGCCTTTTCCAACCATCATCATCCACTGTTGCTGGTCATTAGATATACCCGAGACATATCATTAGTGGCATTGACATTAGTGGCACAATGACATGGACCTTTGTACAAGAGCCTTTGATTTTACCAAGTAGAGACACACAAGGAATAAGCTGTTGTCAATGTTCCTGCGCCATAGTTCCGCCAAGCTTTTTCTTCCAGGAAATGAGCTCCAGAATTGCCACTGACAGTGGAGAACCCAGTGCCGCTCACTGTGGACCCGGGGCAAACAGAGCACTCTCAACTTGACAGACCACTACAGATACAATCATATACAATCATAATCATAGTTTTAGAATCTACAGTATATATGCATTTAAATTATCCCGGCAAGAGACCCTAAACAGTGTGTGTGAGGTCTATAAGCAGAAAGTCTAGAGATCTAGACGCATTTGGGTCCAGAGAGGTGATGGTGGTGATGATCGAAGGTGGAGATCGTGGTGATGGTGGCGTCGGTGGTGATTGTGGCTTGAGTGTCAGTGTGAGTGTGAGTGTGAGCGTTGGTGAGTGTGAGTGTGAGGGTGCGGGTGTGGGTGAGTGTGAATGCAAGTGTGAATGTGAGTGAGAGTGAGTGAGTGAGTGAGGGTGAGAGAGTGAGTTAGTGTGAGTGTGACTGTGAGTGCGAGCGTGAATATGAGTGAGAGTGTGAATGTGAGTGAGTCAGTGTGTGTGAGTGTGTGCGTGTGTGAGTGTGAGTGAAGAGTGAGTGCGAATGTGAGTGTGAGTGAAGAGTGAGTGTGAGTGTGAGCGTGTGAGTGTGTGAGAGTGAGGGTGAGAGTGAGAGAGTGAGAGGGTGAGCATCTGAGGGCACCAAGTGCTGTGCCTGCCACGAAATCTCCTTGAAAGATGCCCCCATGTGCAATAGGCAGAAACTGCAGTCCAGATGCGAAACCGCCCCGCAGCAGATTGGTACAAATGTACAATCGACCATGGAACATGTGTATAGCCCGTGGCCCGGGGTGTAATGTTAAAAAAAATATTCCGTCTTACTATGTTCCACTACAGGGAGTAATTATTAGGAGCTTCCCAATCCAATGCGCACTCATGTAGTCACATGGTGGTGTTCATGTATATAGTATATATCGTACATATTGTATTCAATTATGCAAAAAATATAAGAATATATATATATATCTATATCTTATGTTGTGCGCTTTTGAAACCTCCAGGCAAGGAAAGCATTAACTAGCACCCGGCAAAGGAGATGTAAAGACGTGGACGATGATCATTTGTCTAAGGATGCCCATCTCAGTCAATTCTAAGGCCTAGTATAGATCCATGGTAAGACAGGTGGAAAAGGAAACCACTAGATTCCTAGATCCATACTTAGGGCCAAAAACGGTGCCCGTTGCCGGATCTGCAACATGCGCCCTTTCACAAAATCAAAAGCGGGCGCAGCACCCGTTTTGTTTGGCGAGGCCTTGCTGCGTACATGCGCATGATCTTCCATGATCAGTTTATCCATGGAGCTCGGGGGCCCAATCCCAGGCCCGAATGCTTCGGCTCGCCCCAACAAACAGGCCCGAACAGGGAGCCACCTGGCTCCCGGTTGGGGCATGAATGCACACGATAATGTAATATACTGCATGTTGATAAAAGTTGGAAGTGCAAGGTGGTGGCACTTTCAAGTGCCATGGTTTTGGAAACTGTTTGTGAGGTGCATAAGGACGAGTTCAACGTCAACAAATCCTCCAAATGGTCAGTGTTGTGCAAGAAGCAAACTCAAAGGTTATATAGTAGGATGTGTTTTTCCCAGCCTGGACCTTCGGTGCCCCGGTGCCCACTCGTTTTTCGCAACGCAGACAGAGCCTGGGCTTCTCAGGACTTGCATCCTGGTAACGTGATGTTAAAGCCGCAACCTGAGCCACAGAGACATGATGAGTCAATGAGACATGAGATGGAGAAAGGTTCGAGAATCTAGTGACACTGGCACCCATCGGCCCCCAACATGCCGTTTAGATGGGGTCCATGATAAATCCACTCGGGTGAGCCGGAAGCCACATTCCAATGCATCCGGTCTCCACAAGCATCCGAGAGTTGGTTTATGCAGACATCGGTCAAGAACCATGACCGAGCTGAAGTGTTGGTCGCTGGTCATCGGTCACTGGTGAAAGTTAATGTCAGCAGGGCGCTGTGATTTTGAGGCTGCAGGATGCTAGCAGCGAGTCGCAGGCAATAACACGTGACAACTGCGCATACTTTGTGTTGTGTTGAAACCATTGATGAAGAAACAAGTGCATGGCTTCAGTCGCAGACAGAGTCGAAAACGGAACACCCAATGATCCCAATGTGAGATGGGAAGCAGCAACTGATTGGCAAAAAGGAATCAACCTGTGTACCTGTTCGGATCTGTTCGGAATCTGATACGATAATAAGATGTTGTTTGAACAAAGTAATTTGTCTTATGTTGTGGGAGGGGGGGGCAGGGCGGAACATAAATGCAGACGTGCGGCAGGTTAAAGTTGGAACAGTTCACTGAAGTGCGGACAATTGTTCTCTTAGATATTCCAACATATTCCAACTATAGAAAGTGGACGCATGTTTCAGCAATACAGAGTCTACCTGCCTTGAATCCAAAAAACATGATTTGATAAATATATGAAATGTTGTTGCATTTTTTGGTGTCGAATGGAGGAACCAGGGCTGTTGTGGTTCCAGGCCGATACAGAGAGCACGAATTCGTGGCTCGCAGGGCCCTCAGCGTGTGACAAGACTAACAATTTTCTGGATGCTGCCATTGTTTGGAGGTTTTAGATGATGTTTTCCGACTAAGACTTTGGGAGGAAGGACCTTTCAGGGGTTTGGTTTCAGTTATTTTTGTTCAAGTACGCATGTTTTTACGTGCACACAACTATGTGATACGCAGGTAGACAATCATAAAATATGTTTTGACAATAATTAATTGATTATTTAAGGGAACACAAAATATGTTTTTTAACGTGTGTGCCCTTAAATTGATGTTGTTTTCCGTTTCTGCTTGCCGAGGGCCGACTGTCCAGCCGCCTGAGGAACGCTGCACGTTGCAAGCTCAGACTGATTGACCATTGACCTGACTCGAGACTGGCTGGGGATGGCGAATGAGCTGTTGTAAGGGGCATGTCCTATTTTTGGGGTGGACACAGTGTATATTTTGTCCAGATGCAAGGAAATATGCACCAACTGAGAGACGAAAAGATAGGACATATATGTTCCAGTTTGGCAGCCTTCTTCTTGTTGGAAACCAGGTTTTGGCACAGTGGTATTCGCGTACAAAAGTCATCCCTTTTTGAAGTGGGAACAGTAACTATAAGACCTTTTCACGGGGGGGCCGCCAAGTGCGAGCAGTGAGTCCCAAACGGAATCCCAAAAGCAATCGAATTAGGTTGGAGGCTATTGCTATTAGTAACAAGGGCATCGCTACTAGTAACAAGGGCATTATTTGCTACTACTAGTAGCATCTAGTAGCTAGAAGCTACCAGTAACAAGGGCATCGCTATTATGTTGGAGGCCGTTGCTATTGGGGGACCCTAAGGGCTGGGAGCGTTTGATTTCAGCCCTCGTTACCGGTGCGGGTCGTCGGGTCATGTCGACCGGCTCGCGGGTTCCGCGTTCCACGTTCTGGCGCCCAGGATCGTACAGTCCACCTTTCGAGTTGATCATCCTTGATGCCGGCCATTTGGGCGAAGAAACGAGGTGAGACATGGTGACACAATAGGCTCTGCAACTGCGACATGAGGACGAGAAAGTGAGACATGGTGACACATACGGGGGTTAGATGATGTTGGTGTTTTTTTGGATCCTCGAGTTTGGAGCCTTCCATGGTTGGACCGGTTATACGACACGCTTCACGCAAACAGTCAAGAAAACAACGGCCAACAGTATAGAGCCGGTGGTGTTCTGTGTTTCCCCACGCCGCACAAGCCCGGTCCAAACCAGAACCCGATGGAACATCAACGGCAGAGAGCAACGTCGGAGACCGCGGGTGGTTTTCGCTGTACTTGTTGGTCGATGTTTTGGCGCTGTTTATGCTTGATTACTGTCACTGTGTATAGGCAACATTCCGTTTGGGTTTGCGGAAGACTGTTTGAGTTTGCGGAAGAAGTCTCAATCTTGGTGAGACTGAAGTTTGTCCATTGGTGTGTCGGATGGATTGTGATAGTTCAGCCATCTAGGACCATGAGCCTGGAAATCCTTTTGGTCTATTCCAGCGTCACCATTTCAGATCCGATTATTGTTTCCCCAATTCACTGGTCTTCGGTGGGAGAGACATGTTCCACGTACCCCTTGGTTCGAAGTTCGCACGTTTGGCCACTCGGCGAGTGACTCTCATCCAAGGCTTGGCAATTCCTTTGCCACGCGAGAAGGTGGAGGCAACGATGTTGACGGCGTGGCAGCGATGTTTTGGCGTGAGATGTTGTTTGCGATGCCAGGAGCCCCTAGTAGCGTCCTTGTTACTAGTAGCAAGAATGCTACTAGTCGTAATGCCCCTTGTTGCTAGTAGCGATGCCCTTGTTGCCAGTAGCTTGTTGTTACTAGTAGTAAGGCCAGCAGCCCCTAGTAGCGTCCTTGCTCCTAGTAGCGATGCCCTTTGCTCCTAGTAGCTTCTAGCTACTAGTAACTAGTAGCTTCTTGCTCCTAGTAGCGATGCCCGGGTTCCTAGTAGCTATATAGCTGTGGTTTGGAGTTCCTCAAGAATCGGGATAGAGAATAATGCACATTGTTCCGTATCACAGGTCACACAGCTCGCTGACACAAGTATGCCGAACATACTCACATCATATACACAGTCAACTGACAGTCCATGCCATGCTTCCGGGCCGTTTGTTTTTTTCTTAACGTGTCCTGTTTATGTAGGGCTGGAATGTTCGACTTAGGCGAAGCATACCTCCGAAGCGTTTGCCGTAGTCAAACATCCCGGCCCGGGCACGTCAAAAAAAGACACACCCATATGCCCCCAGCACACTTGCTGCAAAGAACCTCTTCGCAACGTATCAGGGATATTGCTCAAGTTTGCTATCAGTATGGTGGTGACTTAGTGGAGATGATGAGATGACTCATGATGAGGGTCAAAACGTGCTACCCCCAGGTCAAAGGCTTGGTACCGTCAGGTCAAAGGTGCCTTCTGCGTCCGATGACAGTGGCTCAAGGGCCGAAATTGGCAGCCACCGGCATCCACGTCGACTTCCGTTCTTGCTTAAGCAGCCGGCAGTCTTCATGCGCGGCATGCGTCGTGACTCCGATGAGGAACAGCCAATGATCAGCTCCAGTGATGATGAATCCCCACGTGTCCAGGGCAAGACCATTGTGCTCGGAGTGCTGGGAGTCACACTATTTTTGGGCGCTCTCTACATGTGCTTTCCAATGAAACTGGGTAAGTCTTAGCAGAGCTTTGGAGATTCTTTCTTGTTGGGGCGTTCCCCTTAATGCAACAGTTAACACCATGATTTATTTATATATCGCTTGGAGCAAAGCCAACTAGGTCAGGATTCAGCTCTGCGCATTCCGCGGAGCTTCAGGGCAAGAGTGACTTATGGTCCCTGTCCATTCCCTCAGAGCTCAAGGATGCCTACAACTCCGTGAAAGAAGGGGTTGAATCTGTTCATAAGGGGGTGAACGATCAAGTATGGCAGACACAGCACCAGGACTCTCGAAGGGGTGACTCAGCAAGTTTTGTGTATATATTTCTGGACAAAGCGATCTTCAACTTTGGTATTCTTCAGGATGACTGCACTTAATTGTTGCTTATTGTTTTGACATGTTTTGAACCCATGTTTCAATCTTCTTGAGCAAGCCTCAGGAAATGATGGAGACCTTCAACAAATATGATGTGAACAGCGACGGAAAGATCGACCGCGATGAGTTGGTCACCTGGGTCTTTGGCCCGAAGAATGCAGATTCAGATGAGGTCAAAAAGAGCGTGAAGTGCTTCATCGAGAAGTTTGGATCCAAAGAAGGGGAATTGAGCCCCCCAGGAGATGTACTACGTGTTTGCGCCCATTATCAAATCAACAGATGGTTATTTGAGCAAGATTGGCTGTTAGCGCCATGACAAGCGCCCAAGCATTGGGCACGCATTCACCTTTGCCGCACCTACCCACAGCAACGTGCCTTCTGCAGTCTTGCAAGGTAAAAGTCCACGGAAGACTGCTACTTCCTCCATGCTCTGATTTGGTCTCATATGTGTTGTATGTATTTATAACTGTATCAAATTGTATCAATATTATATACTACTATATTGCGGTCATTGAAGTCTGAAAGAGAATGCATTAATTGGAGGATACTGTAGGCAATTTGTTTTTGCTGTAGGGCAAGTGGAACTGGGCACGGCTTGGCGGGCAGTCCTGCAGTGCACAGAGACCAGATGCACTGAAGAAGACCCGACCAACTTGGTTCCGTTTGTAGCGGTTCACGTGCTAGACCAAGACAGGCCAGCTCTCAACACCAAGGTTGAGAAAAGCAGAGCAGCTGGATTGATCCACATCGCATGGTGGGGTGATATGGATCGGTGGGGTGTGCCGGCATCGTGGTTGTTCTTTCTGTTTGAGAGCGGAGCACATCAGCCGAGCACGGGTCTGCTGTGGTTCGCCAGACCGGTCACATGTGACTCGCCAGACCGGTAGGGTCGGTCGATCGTGTCAGGCCTTGCGGTCCCTGGCGCTGGCCATCATCTACGGTGACTTCAACCGAGCGACTTGGCAGACGTGTTGACGCAAGTCGCTCGGTGTCGCTGTTGTGTTGACCGAAAAATGTGGAAGAAAGACATTGAAAAATGAAAGACCGATGCAGAACGTCAATTACTGTGTTTCGTTTGTGCAGAAGACCTGTGCAGAAGTTTTGGGTGGCGTGTTGGAGTTTTGGGGCCTGAACGCTGCAGAAAACGAACATCTGGTGGCACTTCTCGGAATCTCCCCATCCGAGACCTGATCTACCCTTTTGCTTAGCAAACCTAGACACGGTGAGAGACGACAGATGGTCAAAAACGGTGAAGCTGCACGGCAGGTGTGAGCTTTTTGGAACTTCTTTGCTTGGTTTTCTCTAGGCAGCAGAGATCCTCTACCAGCAGAGCCCTGATACCTCTAGGTGCCAGGACGATGATGCATGGGATGTGATGAGGAGGTTACTGCATTCTGAACAACAAGGGAGGACAAACCGAGTTTGAGGAAGTCATCTAAGAAACATGTGGACACTTGAGGGTCTGGTTCCGTCAATCCCCAGATGCTGTTTTTTTCTTGCAGTGAAAAGGTCAGGAACTCATGGGCTCCCCCCCCCAAGTGTCCCAGTGTCCAGCAGCTATTCATAGATCCAACTTTTATCCAACTCACAGTATGAATAGCTGACAGAAGCACTGGAAGTATGTGAAGCTCGTTAAGCTCCTAACTGGAGCCATTTTACGGGCGCTTCGCCCGTTTGCTATACTTCTGACCGGTCAGAACGGTGGAACCTCCGCAGGATCCCCAAGCTTTCAAGAACGGCCTGGCCAAGGCGGAACGACGGCCGTTGGCAGCTGGCTGTCAGTTGCTGTTTGAAGTGGTAGCACGGCCGTAGCATCATATTGCTCTCCGAAGAAGAGTGAACGACACATAGCAAGCCCCAATCTTGGATAGAATAGAAGCGATCCTTTTGCTTGTGCTGTTCACTGATGGGTACCCTGTGCAAGGCTTTCCGCGATTGCAGGACTGGGCAAGTTGCAACAGCTGCATCGTTCAGGTAGAGTTCAGGGCATTGTTTTTGATAGGCACACCGTTGTCAGCATGTGAGCATGTGTTCAGTAGAAACTGAAACATGTTATTCTGCATGTGCGATATGTACCATTATATAATTAGGATACATTGGGCAACCTTTACCTTAGGCTTTCACCTATTTACGATCCGGATCGATTCGGCACCTCATGCAACAAGGGTGCAGGTGTTTGACGTTGACAAGGAGCGCATGGGAAACACTCACGAGACTTGCAGTCATGCCCGTTGAGACTCACCAACGGAACTAAGACCCGAAAAGGAACGCAGATCTCAGCCCGAATCCGACTGCGTGGGGCGAAGCTGAAGATGGAGCTACCCGACAACTGCGGTGCCGGCCCATCATCTAAATATCATGATCATTTGCTATCAACAGTTCTCAGAGTAGTTGCATTAAGATGGTGGAATCCCACTAAAAAAAAACGCGTTTCGACCCAACACCACCCGGATGGCTTCGGGTGTTTTTCCACCAGGAAGCAGGTCTACGAGGATGGCTTTGTGCAAGTCCGGGTCCCGGACCGGAAGAGATCCCAAAACACACGAACGACGAGCGACGACTGGTGGACGATGAGATCCCCCTGCCGATGCTTTTATCTCACAAAAATGGCAAGCACGTTGAACCCCATTTGTATAGGAGACATTGGTTGGGCAAGCACAGACTGGATCAGAGATTTGGGCCATATTGGATGAGTGAGGCCCGGTTTGGCCTTGTTTATATACTTTTTCAATCTGTTTCAGATTTTTTTCGTTTCGCGCGTTGATCCTGGCAGGGCCATTTGATGGACGCTTCACATTTCCTAGATAATTGGGCAATCCGAATCCACACGGCATTTCATAGAGTAACCATGTTCTCCTTTGAACGCTTTGAAGACCTTGGAATCCAAAATCCAAAATTACATTTGATAAACTGAACTATCTTCATTCTTTGTGTCACGTCCTACAACTTCGTCGCTTGCACTTTGCTGCACAGCTGCACCTTCCCAGCTCTCCCCAGTGTTTCCCCGGCGTTTCCTCAACGGGTCGAAGTGAACCCATCCAAGCGCAGACATTACAAAAGGAAACTTTTCTGTAGAAAAAGCATTTATATCATCTCAATTATATTATATACAGACTCTACAGTGTTACAGACTCAGTCTCTTTTCTTGTTTCCCTTTCTTTTTGACACATTTTTCCGCCAGGATCATTTTCATAGACTCATAGACAAGGTGCCTTTGATATCTTTGATTGCTTCTAGACTCGGCAAATCCCTCACAGAGTCAGTTTATGGACAAACTTGGTTGGTGTCTCATTCTTCTTGAGAGCATCCTGAAATCCACCCACCCCATTTTATATGCCGTTTTGGCATTTTATAGGCTAGTTCTCCTGAATGTTCATGTTATAGGCAACAAAGTTTATAAAATGCCTCGAAAGGCACTGAACAAAAAAAGAAGAAGGGGGATGAAATCACCTGTTGGCGCCAAAGGTCTTGAGTCTTAAGCCTAGAAAGGTGTTGTTGAAGATTCTGAACTGACCAACTAGCCTTCCACAGTTCCAACTTGTCATGTTTGTGCACTTGTCGTAATGCCATCTCCGCTCGTATTTCAGAGAAAGACCTAACAGGACCAACTCACCAGCCTGTGCCCTTGTGTGTTAGTTGGGCGTGACCCACAGACTAAAGAATGACTTTGCACATTTTTGCATCCAGTTGTTCTGTTTCAGTCTGGTAGGAGATTTCTGAGACCCCAAATGCCGAGCCCCATCGACCCCAACGTCTCACTCCGGAGTCAAGGTCAGTGACTCAGTGCTGGAGTCCCTGCGTTTGGTGCGCTACTACAACGCCCGGGAGCCTGTGTTTTAGAACTGTGGATGGCCATCTTCGCGCAGACTGTGGAAGATCTTGGAAGTTGAGATGGGACCCGACAATCCAAGGTATTGTGTATGTTTTTTTTGAGGAAACACACTGCCCCAGAAGCCCAACAAACCCTCAAGTGGTTTACCCAGATTCGACCAGTTTCCTTGAGGCGCTTTGTATTTCCATGCTTGCTGCCCCAGTGTTTTCCAAGCCAAGAAGCTCACCACAATCTCACCACATAGAAGAACCACCACTATTTGCCATGGGCCACATCCATTTTGCAAAGTTGCCTAGCTGTAATCTGGGATCTTTGCTTCCCAGTTCTTTTTCCAACCAAAACGCGTGCGTCTTTGGACCCCTTTCCTTTGAGGTAGGGCTAGATACGACTCTCACATGGACCCTGCTGGGCATGCCTGGAACCTCAGAGTCGCCAGTTGTCTCACGAAAGCTGTGCATCGCCATGCTTGGTTCGGGGCCTGACTCCTCCGTCAGTGGGGGAGAAGTGCCACCAGCCCTAAAGGTCTTCCGTTTATACCTATGTGCTGCCAGCTAGCCGTCTTACAAAGACAGGAAGAAGAGGACGCTACTCATCGCTACTAGGAGCAAGGACGCTACTAGGGGCTCCTGGCCGTACTACTAGGAGCAAGGACGCTGCTAGGAGCAAAGGGCTACTCTAGCATTCTACTTATACTAGACTCTAGTGAGATCGGAGTTGTGGAGCGTAGGAGCATAGATTGAGGCACATGACGGACTTGCTGCGTCAAAGAAAAGAGCTTTAGAGAAAGGACTTGTGACTTGATCAAATTGTCTAACGTTTCGTTTTTGTGGATGGTTCACCCATGGTGAGTACAATGTCTCAGGAGTTGTCCAAATTAATCAACGTCTTTAAGAAGCACACCAATCCCAAAAGTTTTTGTGGTTTCTCCGCCTCATTTGCTGTGGTGTTTGTTCACTGGAATCTCTTGGAACTGCGCTCCTTTTAAATTGTTCACAGCTTCTCTTGCTACTGAAGGATTCAACCAATGATTTAGGATCTGCCAACAGGCATGCAGGCACACCAACCAATAGGACTTGTGCATGGTTGGTGTGCAGGTTGCAAGATGTCCAAATGTTGTGTAGAGAATAGACAAGACAGCGACAACGAACATCTATATAAACGATTTCAAATTCAGAGAAATGCTGTCATGACATACATAGGACTTGTCAAACTCCCATATTCACTCGTCAAGTCTCATTAGAGCCTAGTATATTGGTGAAAATGTATCAAGAGCAGAGAGTGCTGGAGGTCAACATGTTGTTGGCCATCTCGTGCGCCCACTTTGCACCCCAGCTGGCGGTTTCAACACTAAACTTTGCCCTAGCCACCTTAGCCATGTGGCGTCTCAAAAGGGAGAGGTGTTCTGCGACTCCCAACAAATGGCTGGTCATTTGCTTCATTTCTACTTCTCCTAAAGTTGTGGAGACACACATTCTGACGCGCCAATCGTGCACTCCACGAAAGGCTTCTGCAGTTGTCTTCAGTCTGCCCACCGAGGCTCAGTATTGAGGGCTCCGCGCGACAGTTGGATCCCGAGGTGGACTGTGCCCGCGCGGCCACGAGGCGCCAGCCGCGCGCAGCAGCGTGAGGGCTAGCGGCTTGCAAGCGCCGAGTTCAGGGAACAAGGGGATCTTCCAATGGAACTTGTTTCCTTTTGAGAAAAAATGCGGCAGTTTCCCACCAAAAACAAAGACAGAGACGAACATCAGCGGAATTGATGGTGTGCATTGTGCTGGTCCTTGGGCAGCATTGAAGCTCTATTTTGCTTGTTGACTGAATCTGGTTTGATTGCACATTCGTGTGCTTGGGTGGCCTATGTTTGCTTGGCGGCAGGGCAGGATTCTATTGGTTCTATTGCTGTACAGTGTACAGTCAATGCACGCCTTGTGTACAGTCAAGACACGAGGCTCGACTGGGCAAAATGAAGTATATTTATCCCACTTGATTTCTACTAGCTACTTGTTACTACTAGTAAGGCACTTGTTACTAGTAGCGATGCACTTGTTTCTACCAGCTACTTGTTGACTTGATAGAATAGAAGACATCCGATCCAAACAATCAAGAGGAACAACCGCGGATCCTTGTACCCTTCTTCAATGCAATCATGCAACTGGGATCCGGTCGGGGCGTTGGCATGGATTAAATGAACACTGACCATCACTGACCATTTTGCCAAAGACCAGCCATTGTTTCCACAACTGCCTAGCCAATCATGCAACTTACAACCGGTCATACAACTTGAAATGGAAACAACGAAACCCACCAAAGCGTGAATTAATAACACCATATTATCCATGTTCCGCTTTCCGCTGGGTTTGGCACCTGGCAGGTATATCCTCAACATGCCAAGCCTTTGGAATGAGCTGAGAAGTCATTCTTGGCACACCTCCAGGCCTTCAGCCAGCGGGCTGCGTTGGATGCCAGTGGGCTGTGTCCATGCGATATTTGGTTCTCGCCCATGCGGTGGCATCCAACCACTGGAACAAAAGAGATGCCACAAGACATGAGACGAACTGATATGAACGGCCAATTGTCGGTGGCCCTTGGTGTTTCGTTTGGAGACGACAAACGGCCGGACCTTTGAGGTAGAAAGCACCAAGTTGTTTTCACCCAACTCCATGCCGGCCGTAGAATTCAAGTCTCCTAAGGCACCTTCCGCGTTGGCAGTGACCCAGCCATTACAGCTGAGCCGACTTTTGTTTCATGTCAAAAGGCACAAAGGCCTTGGATCAGTCCTATGATAGCCTGAGCCATTGCGGTGGTCAAACCCACGTTTACGCATTCAAAATCAAAGCTGCTGCTCCATCCCATGATGGCACAAGGCACATGTTTGCTGAGATGTTCCTGACCTGGCTTGGAATCGACTACTGGGCACTGGGCTGAGACGGATTCACCATGTTGAGATTCGCCATGCAAGAACTGTCTAGTTCTTTTAACTCTACATTCAATGAACATCCAGGATCTACTCAATGAGCATCCAGAATCTCGGATTTGTAGGTTCTATTGCTAGCATCAGACCTTCCACTACGCATGGAGCATCGCTGGCAGACAAAACCAGCAACTGCCTGGCACTTTGAGGAATGGCGAAACCGATCCTCCATCTTTGCGAATGTCAAGTGGTGAGGCGGGGCATGGAGCCGTTTTTCGCATGCAGCCGGTGCACCACCCGAAATGGGCCAGTTCTCCGTACAGCGACGATGCACTTGTTCCTAGTAGCTTATTGTTTCTAATGGCTTCTTGTTACTACTAGTAAGGCACTTGTTACTAGAAGCGATGCACTTGTTCCTAGTAGCTTGTTGTTTCTAATAGGTTGCTGTGGATGGAGGAAATCCTGCACTTTGCCTTCGACCCGCTCCAAAGTACAGGGAAATGGCCTATGGTGCAAGATGTGTCCGTCAGCAGAGCATGGGGTTGCTGTTGTATGAACTACACTATTTGAAATGATCATATCCTGGAAGTGGAAAATGGCTCCTTGGACGACAAACAGGCATTGTTTTTGAGGGATATACTCTTCCTGCGCTCTTCCTGTGAGCTACGTACTCTTCCACCAACCTCCCTTTCATGTCCTCGCATTGATGATGTGCCATGCAGAGCTGGCCATTGTCATGTTGGTCGTAGGATTAGCCCACGCCAATTGATCCAGGCAGGATTCAAATCTGGTTGAGAAGCCACGATGGTCATGCCTTTTTGTGCTTGGCCAATACTCCATTTGATCGCTATTTGTGAATCCTTGGCTCATAGGACTGTGGAGCGGAACTTACACGAACTAATTAGAGTCATGAGGGAATTCAAGCAAACAATGCGCACGGTTTGCCAATGAGCACAAGATAGCACAAGCCATTCAATCCAGCCTCCTTGCACAAGGAAGAAAAACGTTGGCTCGCATCCTTGATATTACTCAAAGGCCATTCACACAGCGAGGTGCTCGAAATGAGTTTGGCCCATACCAAATGGGTGTTCCTCCCACTTTCCTGGTGAAGATGCGGAACTGGCGGATCCCCTGCCTAAGCACACCGTTTGCTCACTCCACTGAAAACTGTTTGCCCTGAACATTTGGGTGGCAGAAATCAAGCAGAGTTGCGCATCGTCAGCACAGTTTCGCGACCCTTGAGCCATTGGCTTCGAGAAGAACGCATGGAAGAGAAGACCTTGGCAGAGATCTTTGTTCCTCAGTCGCAGAAACGATGTTGATGATCTCTCCAGATGGGCCAGACCGGCCAGACTTTTGATTGAAACGTCGGTCTGGGAGGAAGCCTCACGGCTTCAAAAGCATGTCACAATTGGAGGAAGCCTCACGGCTTCGCTTCGCTAGAATCAATGGTTATCCTTAGCATTCCTTGGAAATTCCTATCAGATCAATGACAAAGGTTGCATGTTCATTTGTGTGTTGATCATGCTGAATCTTTCTTGGCTACAGGAAAGTGGGGGTGCTTATGCTCGAAGCAAAAGATCCCCCGCTGTTTTATTGCACATCGATGCAGTTTTCCCCTCCCTGTCTCTTCCCGCAACTAGTCTCAGGACTTCTTGGGCTTCGGGCGCTTCCAGACGCATGGCCCATGCATGGCGAAGCATTTTTCAAAGAGCAAGAAGCTACTAGTAACAAGTGCATCGCTACTAGTAACAAGGGCATTGCTAGTTGCAAGAAGCTACAAATAGCTATTTGCTACTAGTAGTAGTGCCCTTGTTCCTAGTAGCGATGCCAGGCCAGGAGCTACTAGGAGCGTCCTTGCTCCTAGTAGCGATGCCCTAGTAGCACCCTTGCGGAAAGCCATGAGAACTTCATAGAACTTCCAAGGTTCCGTTTTTTCATGCGATTCCTTCAGATTCCTTGGCATCAAAAGTCGTGAAATCGCTTAGCATCCTTTGAATGAGATCGTCCGTGTGCTGAATGAAACTAAATCGATTCATGAGTGAATGTTCACAAGAATTTCAAGAAAGCAAACTTGGATTGAAGAGCATTGCCATAATATGGTATGTCAAGACGTTTCAAACCCTCCAAGTCCATTGGAGGTGGTGAGAACTCCAAGGCTCTGATCCCTGCTGAGAACTCTGATCCCTGAGGAAATGTTTGCTGCTGATCGCTGGACTGGGCTTCATGGCAGATGCCATCGAAGTCGGCCGCGCGTCAACGATCGGCCGTGCGTCGCACGTCCCGGGCGGAATGGCGTTGCAACGGGTGTTGGGGGTGTTTTCGCTGTCGATTGGACATGAAATGAAAGGATCACCATAGGCAAGTTAGTGAATTCTGCAATTAGTCCATCAATACACCCAGCAATACCCAGCATGTTTTAGAGTATTTAGCAGTTTTATGTAGAATCAACTCAGCTGATTATCACACGTTTGGTTGGGAAAAACCCGCACAGGCACGGTTGGGACCTGACCCTGACAATGTTGAAAGGATTCCGCTTCAACTCCAACACAAAACTACTTCAAGTGACAGGATCACCCAACTGAGAAGTGAGGGTTGAACTTTTTTACCAATAAGTCGGTTCACACCCACCGACTGACGAACTGCGGGTGACGGACGCAGCAGGGCATATTAATTATTGGCAATGATGACTTACCCCGAAAGCGGACGCAAAAAAGCCAGCTGAGCCTAAGGAGTCATTACGTTCTTACTGCAGAAGGTGACAGAGGAATGGCCAGAAGTGAAAGGCTCCAGTCGGGCCGGTCGAGTATGGCTACACAATGTTGTTTTCTTCGAGTGTGTAAAGGATAACAAAAATAAATAAATAACAAACATAGAGGTGAGAGTCATAGTGTCATTCAACATGGAGGGCTGCCAGGAATCAGGTGCTCTTTTTGTTCAGCACAATTCTTGAAGTTAAATTCCTTGACGATGCTAGCTTCTTATATGGGGATATGGCTATAGGCTAGGCTGTGGTTCACAGCCCGGGACTAGTCCACTCGACCAAGGTGGACAACAATGTCAACAGACCCCAACAGGTGCGTTTGGTGTTGATTCTTAGTTGAGTCATATGATTAGTCACAACTAGGATCAACTAGGTAGGTTTGCATTTGGCTTGCATGTTATCACAAAAAAAATCCAGCGCATGTTTTCCAGGCTGGGAGCTCAATGCTTTATCCACCAGCGTTTTTAGCACAAAGTTGTGGCTCGGCAAAACACGCGTCCACCGAAGCCTTTGCGTTGGTGTTCGCGCCGTCGGCCCCCCCCAGTCACACTCACATTTGGACAAGTGTAAGCACAATGGTCCAAAGTCAAGGTCAAGCTGTTGGGTGTCCTATTACTCCGACATCCCATTTGAATGTTTGCCTTTTTCATCAATGCCGAGGCTTGGTAGTTGGATTTGGGGCAGCTTATCCGACCACTTGGGTCGGAGGCGCAATGGGCCAGTCGATCACGGGAAGAAAGTTGTGTAGTGTGTGCAGGGGAGAAGGGAGACCGTTTCGATGGGTCTCATGGATGATGTTTCAATCCAACGAGGATAGAAATCAGTAGACATGCTTTGTCCCATCTACACGAGTTTGCCATTCGGACGGAGTGACCGAGCTCAGATGCAGAGGCGCACCTTTTTGATCGCCAATGTCTTCCTTTTGACGACCGGGTGCTTGTCCGCTGCAGCTCCCTCGTAGCTGTTGCTGCAAGCGATTCCTGTCGTTTTGTTGAATGGCCTCTTGGTGCCTCGCAGGCAGGTCATCGCTACTAGGTTGGAGGCCATTGCTATTAAGTTGGGGCAGATGATGCTCAGTCGTGGGGCCAAGTCGAGCGCCACCCGGCTGTTGGTTCTGGAAAGCTGCAAAGCTGGAAAGCTGTGACCCAAGTAGCTGCTCTGACCGTGTTCTTCCTTTTCTTATGCAGAAACGATGTTTTGAGAGATCTCAATTCCGTTTCCCGACAAAAGCACAAATTCGCACCATTCCTTCCGAGGTATTTTTGGCTTGTGCTGGCACGTGCATTGGTTGGCCTAGCGATCGGAGGAATCATTGTTCCTTTTGATAACCTGGCAGACACTTTGACGCATTGGCTAATAGTAAAAAGTAGCTGTGTTGTTTCGCTATGTTTCGCTCGGGTATTGAGGGCCCAAACAAGATGTTTAATAGTATTCACGCGGAATCAGATTGACTCGCTTTTTGTGGTCATGCTTTGGTGAACACACTGCATACAAGAACATGCTACTGCCTGACACCTCACACACCAAAAATATCGACACAATATGGATGAGGATCAAGTCTAGATTTGAACCCAAGCATGCATCCAACCTGCTGGACCATGCATTGCTGCTCCTCGGTGTTTCACATTCCGATGTCTAGGACACAAAGGTCCTAGTAGATTCCTTTGCTAATTTGAATTCTAATTAACTTAATTCTAATTGATTCTTGTTACTACTAGTTACTAGTAAGGCACTTGTTTCTACTAGCTTCGTGTTACTAGTAGTAAGGCCCTTTGCCTCAATGTTTCACTATATACAGTAAGTTTATATTGTCCTATCATTTCACATGTTGTTCAATGGGGTACAAGAGAATTTGGCTGGGATGGTTGAACATGTTGAAACAAATAATGGTGTTTGTACTTTGCGGGACCGGTTACTTTTGATGCAAAAAAATTGGAGATGGCTCGCACCGAGGAGAGCGTGCCAGAGAGATTCTCTGGAAGTCTTTGCTTCGCTATCGAGTATTTTTGGACGTTCCAAGACCGCAGCGAGGGCATGTTCATCCGGGGCCACTGGACAATGACTGGGGTAATGCAGTCATGGGTAGAGTTATATATTTGGGTCTTTTGGTCCAAATGAATAGTGGCCGTGGTCCTCAGACTTTTTACGACCCGAGATCCTCTCGACTCAAGCGCGGCTGCCCAGTGCGGTGTCCCCCGGCAGCATGGTGTCCTATTGGGTCTTCGGTCACACCGTTTGTCCGTTTCTTTTTTTCTCGAAGATCACCGAAGCAAGGCCTGTGTTTGAAGCCTAAACCAGGTCTGCAGCTGGCTCCAGCTGCCTTTGTAGCGAGCTATATTATACCCACTCATAACGTGCAGACGGACATAGAGTGACTGGATGTGAAATAAGCAGTTGGTTTTGGAAAGGAAGACGGAGTGTGAGTTGCAGACTTGGAACATATGCCGGTTACCGATGTCAGTAGCTCATGTTCCAAGGCGGTTTCTTTTCTCATTGAAGAGATGGACAGGAACAACAAAAACAACAAGCTTTGTACCAGGATCCTGTTAGAGTGGGACCCAGAATTTCAACGCAAGGTTAGGAACGCTCTACTCCAATGGCTTAGCCGCTTTGGTCATCGAGTCCTGCGGATGGAGGCATGGCACAACGTTCGCTCGACGTGGCACACGTTGGCCCGCCTGCACGGTTTCATTGGCTTCCGGCAACATGGTGTTGTGGTTTCTTCAGAACATGAATCATGGGGGGAGAGGAGAAGGACGCGACCACGGAAGAGGATTGACATTTTTGCATAACCTGGGAGAATGGACTCTTGAAGCATAACCTTGGATGTAGTCGGGGCGTTGAAGCTGGCTCCCCTGTCGTGTCCAGCTAGTTAGCTAGTTCTCAGTTGAACTGTATAAGTGTATATTAATTATTATGTAGTGGATCATAGCCTGCTGCAGGTTAGTGATGGGATTTGGGTGCAACTCCTCAGGGTTCTTCTCGTGGCAGGATATACCTGCTCTTGAGTGCACTTCCCATTTTCCTTGCTTGTATCGGCTACTTCTTCTTGGAGGAGACTGCAGAGAAAGCTGAGAGAGTAGGAAACCAAAACCTCTCTCATAACATTTCGGCTGTGCTTGTGCATAGTAAAATACCTGAAACTCGTTGACTTGTGAACTATATAGCATGAAAGTGTTGGAGTCCCTGCAAGTACAACTTCAGCCCTTTGGGGTCAAACAGCAAAAATTGCATTCAATGGAACCGGATTGTGCATCCTTGACAGGCAACCGACTATGATCTGAATGGAATAAACTCCTTGCACAAGCTTAGCATGCACCTGAAACAGAATACATCAGAAGTGCGGTCCGCGTGCAAGGTTAGTTGTGTACTAGAGTCTCTCACACACAGTTAATGTTATGTTTGGCTAACTTCACTTGCCTCACGAAAAAATAGTAACCAAAAACCAAACGAAAGTTCTTGTGTGGGCATAATGTGTGGTGCAAGCATCATGCATGGCACAAAGATGTGCAAAGAGTGAAACCTATCTGTGGTTGCTGCCCGATCACCAAACTATCCTAACAGCACATGCACATCTTGGCCACTCGGTAATCCTTTTGGGTGAGAGTTCCCATGAGACAACCATGGGTGTTGAATTCCCATGACACAGTTTGCGTTGCGTATTGTCAAATCATCTAATGAAGTGTCCACTACTTGTTCATTGTCAGAAATGTGAACATGTCCAGCGGCCAATGGGTAACTGCGCCTCCGGTGCAAATCCATCCTAAGCCAGGAGAGTCCCATGTGGCTTCTTGATCGAGGCTATGATTATGAAGCTTGGCCAGTAGTTGCATTCAGCCCTGTCTGTGCTGAAGAGTGGGAACCCGGCCCTTCACTGTCGGTCAGCCGCTTCTCTCTCTCTCTATTGTATTTGTTTATGCCTACGCCACAAATAAGATCAAATAAGATCAAATACGAATACATTCGTCATAGTATTGTAAAAGAAGATGTGTTGCTACAAACATTGAACATTTCGTTATGCCTGTCGCTTATTCGATTTCTCGGTGATTTGATCGCTTCGATCATAGCAGTGACCCGACCCTTTCTTTGAGCGGGAAGAACCACCGGGAAGCGATCTATGGTACTTCCTGGAACCAAGCTCTAGATGTTAGGAGAAACTATGGTTCCTTGCTTCCTTGGTCGGTCTTCCTTGCTTTCATGCTCTGAGGAAGCCTGGCAAGTGCTGCAAAGGATTGGTCACATCAATCGCAAGGAGCGTACAATGGGTCACTGCATCGCTGCGGGAAAAATATAAATAATCGGTGGATTAGATGGTCCTTGGTCATTGGTCACTGAAACTGGTCTACCAAGTCTACTCAGTCTCATGTGAACTGTGTTGAATTTACCGGACCGGACGTGGTTGGGAAAAGAACCGTGCCCACACAGAAGGATCAGCCAAATTAGCGATATTTGATTTTTTCTGTGTATGTTGTGTTGTTGTCCATCCTCAATCAATTGCTAAAACTTCAGACATGAATTGTTAACTTAAGCATGGAACTTGTCAACTTATCCAAAACCAGCATTTGATGTTATTGTCCTTTCCTAATTTGGATAGGTTGACAAGTTCACTGGTTATAGACAAACGGATTCTAGAACATGCTTTGCTGTTATATCAGGGGATCCTCGTTCCCAGTGGGCCTGATTTGGTGTTCGTAAGATGCTTGCTGTATTTTGATGATAATGCAGAGAGTATGCAGAGATCACAACTACCTGACCTCCTTGCTGCACTGATCATGCTTGTGACCAACAGCTGTTTTTTTGGAAAGCACTGGACATTAAAGCAAATTCCATCCATTTGTTGCATATGGACTTCATGATGTCATTCCCCAACAAGTCATCCTTGTCAAATCCTCAGTCACCGCTTTGTTTGACAGGACTTGAGTGGTATGGCTTTGGTGTCCTACGCCAGAGAGGCGGATCCTTCATGCAAAGAACTGCTCGTTCCTCGGTCAAAGAAGCGAGTCAGATTCTGTGGAGAGCATGGATAAACCCACTTAAAAGAGCTACAAGCATTTGTGTCACCTGGGCAAAAACAGCTGAACGTTGTGCTTAGAATAAGGGTTCTTTATGTCAGCATCGATCATTTCTTTTTAAAGTTTTGTTTGGCTGTTGCTGAGGATACCCGAAATGACTAGCGGCTAGTACCGTCGGACATTTAAGCATCTTTAAACAGCTTAACATCGATTCCAGTGTCTACACCCGGTCTATCAATGAAGAGGATCATTTGAACAGGCACGCCCACCACGCACCTTTCACGTCGGTCAGTTATTTCAGGGTGAAAAAGCTCCTAGTAGCTTCTTGTTCCTAGTAGTACGGCCAGGAGCCACTACTAGCGTCCTTGCTCCTAGTAGCGATGCCCTTTGCTCCTAGTAGCGTCCTCTACCCCCCAATTCCGGCGGTCCTCGCCGCCCCCACGTTCTGCCGCTGAAACCGCCTGCAATGCCCTTTCTTCGCCCTCGATGAACACGCCGAGGTTCCCTCGCTGCGGCGGAGTTTGGTCTCTTTGGGTCTCTTGGACCGGCATGATGATGTTCAGACCGTCCGTTTTGACACCAGACCAGACCCAGACAGAGAGAGAGAGAGGGAGGTAGATAGATGGATAGATAGATGGATAGATGGATAGATAGAGAGAACGTTTATATAGTCAACGAGATACTTTGTTGGATGACACTAAAGTAGTCTGAACGAGTGCTGTGATCTGCTACTAAAGTAGTTGGACAGAGATACAGTGACATCACCTCCTACTAAAGTAGTCCAAACATGTCTAAACGATATATGGCCCCACCACATAATGGATAGTGCATTTGACTTGAGTCACAAATCAATGCCGCCGCTCGTCGTTGGGTGTCTAGGGACGTCGTTGGGCGTCTTCGACCAGCGCGGACGGATTTTGGGCGTCCCACTAGGTCCCACTTTTGCCATCCCAACAAGCCGATTTTGGATCCGTTCGTTTCGCTTGGTGATATTTTCAGGACGTTTTATCAAGAGGCACAAAAACACTCTTGGACAATAGGGCTTCTTAGTCCAGTGATATATAGATTCTTTCCGTTTGACAGGCATTATTTGGTGGTTGGGACTCTTCGGCTATTACGGTGCGTCCTTGGGAAGCTTGGTGTTAGGAAGCGTTCCTGGGGCTGACTGTGGCAGTCATGGCTTGCCTGATGATGGCCCCTTCAATGTTTCTGTTGAATGGAAGAAAGCTGGACTCTTTAGGCTGAGCTGGTTGAGCATCAATTTGTCAGCCTTGCCCGAGAATCAGCGTTTGTGGACTGATTTGATCGATATGCAATGTTTGCAAGATACATACTATAAACAGAAGTAAGGACATATGATAACAATGTGTGCTCAGCAGGTAGTTCAGCTATTTGCTATGCTATACTGCTATAACACTGGCCCACGGACATCCCTCCTTATTTGCCTGCCCTCCGCTGATGAGAATGTCATGTCATCATGTTGCTGAAATATTAGGAAGTGGCCTGATATTCGAAACATCAGGCTCCTTCGACTATGGAGCCTTGGCACTCTAAGTTGTTAGATATACTTTTCCAGGACTGGCTGCCATGCTCAGGTGCCAGTTGGAGGTTCGGCCACTACATCCTTAATGGAACGCCGCTATAGCTATATTATCCATTGTACTGGCCTAAATATGCAACCCCTGAAAAGTATGCTGGGGTTATCGGTTATATAGATATTATGAATTATGATAAACTATATGTTGTTCTTTTTCTATATACATAGTTTTGGATAGCTAAATGGGATTGAATCAAAGCATGAATCCGCAGGGTGTGTGTGTGTGTGTTGTGGAGTGCTCATGTTCTCCTCGGCATTTTGTATGCTCCTGTTCTTGCTACACCAAAGCGTCTTCAGAAGGGTGAGAAAAGTTCGTGCAGCTTCACACAGCCAAAGCCTCAACAAGCTCATCAGATTTCAGTATTTACTTTGCTATAGTGTCCTCATTTACCTGTTTCATGCCGCCATCATCGTCCATGGCGCTGAACAGTGAACAAGAACCCGGCCCAGGCGAGATCATTTTCGCGAGCCTCGGGGAGATTTTGGGCGTCACCATGGGCATGTGCATGTCCTGGCAGATTCCGGTGACTGTGCTACAGCCCTGGTACTACCTGGCCACCTGACGAAAAGGATTCCGAAAATGATCCAGTCTTTTGATGTTTTGAATCTACAAGAAGACCTATTGTTGAATGTTCCAATAGTTTTGTTTAGTTTAAAATCACCTTTTTGGTGAAAGCTTTGGCATCCAGATTCCAAAATGAATAGATGATAGATGTGACGATCTATGGGTTATATATGTGTTATTGGAGTATGTGTATGCTCCAAAAATAGCGGAGGCCCCATTGATCTCTCATGTCAACTTTTTGGTACGCTCCGGCTCTCTAACATGAAATGGGAACGTGGCTGCTGGAAGACTAACAGGGAGCTGTCCACTTTGATGGAACGTGAGTGTCGAGCTCATCGTCTCCCAGTCGAACGAATTGAAATTCCTCAGCTTTTGAAACAGGAAATATCCGGTGCAACCGAGGTCAGCACTCTAGCCTGTATTGCTGTCCTTGTAGCACATGCTCTCAAAGGCTTGCCGGATCGAAGCTGCCACGCGGACGATAAGCACGCGGTTCCACGCGCACTTGCGTAGTAGCTCGTGCGCAGAAGAAAGCAAACGAATCAAATGAAGGCAAGCGAGTCTTAGCCACATGTATACGTATACAGTATTGTGGTTTTTGCTTGGATGTGGTCCTTTTTGGTCTTCCAGATCAAGGGCATCATTCGTAGTGCCAAACTGTGTGTTGAACCGATTGATCGCACAGATCGATGAGACCATGGACCGGATGACTAGCTGACTGCAATCACTAAACAAAGAAACTGGCAGGGATAAAGTGGCAAGCAATTCCGATCTGAACACATGAACTTTGCAACGATCCTCGCAAATCATTCCCAGTCACTCTGAAGCCCACTACGCCGGCTTCCCCTCAGCAAGAACCACAGGCTCCGCCCTGCTTCTTGGGGTCTTTGCCTTCATTTTGCGAGCGGCCAGCATGGGTGCCATCTCAATCACCTGGGTGCTCACACCGACGGCTTTCCCAACACACGTGCCTTGCACCTGCCGTCGCCGTCGGGTGCGAGTGATGGAGAACACAGCGAGCTGGCGAGGTAGCCTCCAACCTACTAGCGATGACCTCGAATAGAAAAGGACGCAAAGGACAGTTAACACAGGATGGTCAGTCCTAAGGGAATTTTACCCGTGTATCATGTTGATATATGTTGATTGTGGAGATTGACATACATATGACCCACAGGCATGGTTGTGTCTTTGTCCTTCCATGAGTTCCGGGCCAGGTGTTTGATGATGCTTGGGTCTTGACATTGTACATTGGGGTGATTCGTCATGGTGCCATCCCAGCATGAATCAAGCATCCTCATGAGTTTGAGGATGGACTAGGCACTGGCACACAGTTTTTTTCACAGTAGGCTGGAACTAAGGTTAAGGGTCCCACCTACAGTGCGTGTTGGGTCACAGTTCCGTAGTTTCGGGTAAGCACCTGCAGATGTTCAACCCGAAAGTACTAACCGGTATCATAGTTTCATATAGTTTGTCTCAACTCAATCCAGCAAATAACTAGCTTGGCAGCTAGCAGCATGTTTGCATGTTTTGTGGCAAGCCTGACTGCAGCATATGAATCATATGAATGGATCACTAGGACAAAAACTCAGTAGTATGTTCATCGTGCGTCCTCTTTTCATGTAAGAATTGATGCATGGACATGTTGGCTGGGCTAAACCAGAACAAGACAGCAGAACCTTCGCTTTCATTCTCCATCCGATCCCACACGGATCTTTCGATTGATGAACGTCCTTGTCACAACTCGTCACATGCTCATTCAAGTTGATGCCTCACCAATACCAAAGTGCTGAAAATGGCATTGGACCTCCCCCCCAGCTGTTCTCCAACTTTCAAAGTACAGCGGTCCACCCGGCGAAGCGGTGTTGAGGTGCGCTCCACGGCCCATAGCATTTTGTATGCTGCAGGATCCTTAGGACTGGGACTTGGAGTGGATCAACATAAGTCACTACGGTGCTTGTTTCGCCTCCGGCCTTTAATAACAATCAGAAGGTGGGAGGCTTTTGGTGACCAAGATCCTCAGGCAAACAGTCTTGGTGAGGGCTTGATCTCCATGAGTGCTCCATCTCCTTGCTCCCCTACGCAGAAAACGCTCTCTACGGAGCCTACCGTAGGACCTGTTTGCGCGACACTCTGGCCAAAGAATACACAGCTGGCTGTGATCATGGGAAGCTACGGTGCGGCAAACCTGGTTTGTGCCATTGTCAGCCAGTGGCAGCGCAAAGGGCTGGCAGAGATGCTCAGCTCAAGAAGCAAAAACGCCATTGAACAGCCATCCAGTCAACACAGTATATAATTGCGTCGTCCTGCATCGGACTGCGTCGTCCATGGAGCCAAGCGTATGCGTCGTCCGGCGTCCCTCCGTCGTTGCGTCGGACCGCATCGATGTTCCCCGAGGCGCGGAGCCTTCGATTCCCTCATCTCAGACCTCCATGCCTCCAACTTGGAACGCCGCGCGCGCTCCTCCATCACCCGCGACAGCCGTGCAACTGGGCAAGTACGACCGGGCGAAGGGGGGCGAAAGGTTCGAGTGGTTCGCCCAGCATTCCACGTGGTTGGTTCAGGGAAAAACCTTGTGATGTGTGGAAGCACAATTCCACAATCTCAAGGTGAACCTCTTGGTCAGCATTAGGGCAGCCCGGACAAATTTGCCTCCAAATTCTGGTTTGGGAAGCGGAAACAGGTGCATTGTCGAGTTCTGTTTGCAAGAATACCTAAGTCTCCCTTCTTGTAGCAAGCCTGTGAGTTGGCTTCGGATCAAAGACTGTTTGTGACCACTTCCAGAACGTGACACTACCAGAATGAACCAAAGAAACAAAGGTGTCCCAGCTAGTGTTGTAACTTGTCCAAAGCCGCTCCCAAAGCAAAACTCTCGAAAAGACTGATCCCTCAGATCGATGAGTTCAGATCGATTTCATGGATACTGGCGTTTAGCAGAATGTCACATGGGCCCAACCAGTTGCGGTGGTGTTTTCTACCCTCTTGCCAACTTGGTGCTTAGACTGGAAGTTTGAATTTGAATCCACGGTGCCTGAAGGCGTCACGGCCCACCTGGGCCAGCCGCCCCAGTTGGATGAGCCGCCCCAGTTGGTCAGAGCGCAGCGGATCGCAGCTGCTCCGCGAGTGAAAATGGGAGCGAAGCGGAGAGCTGCCAGTCGGGTTGCTAAAATCCGTTATATGTGTTTGGGCATGTTTGGAGGGTGTGACACACTCACCCAATGTTGGGGGGGGATGTGGGGGGGCTAAATATTGGTTTGTCCCGGCTGGATGAGCACCAGGAGGATTGTGCAATGTCAACTCCTTTGTTGGGTTCACCAAGCTCGACGGTCCGAGCCTGAACGTCCAGCTGCGCCACAGGACACCAGTGAATGTGAGAGGTGGCTGAAAACTGGCTTGCTGTGAATTATTTGTTTCAACAGTTGCCCAACCTGTGAAGAAAATAAAGAGCCGTTCACGCTAACCGCTAACGCTTCCAAGTGATGCTAGCCTAATAACTGGGAAATAATGCCCATATTCCTCGAATCAACCTTAACGGTTTTCATTTACTTGGTTCACAAATTCCTACAAATTCCTACCACTGAAGATGCTGTTCTCTCTTCGAAGGCGATGAAGTGGGTGATCCCCAATCCCAACCAATGTGACTGCTGAAGTTCCAAATGATATTCATCATGTTTTGCTCACACATTTTGCTCACCAAACTAATGAACTAACCACCTTGTGTGTTTATGTCAACTGATTCTTCCTTTACAGGTGCTTGGCCGCCGGTGGTTGCACAGCTTTGCTGATGGAAAACCATTGGACCAAAGCGACGGCTGTCCGATGTTGGGATTTAAAAGGTGCAGCTGCCGGGCAGTGGTGAGCAGTTGTGTAGGTGATCACTGTGGGAATTCTCAAGAAACGTCCAGAACTTTCTCCAAAATGGTGTTCATTGGTTCTCCCTCAAGATATTCAAGATGTTGTGTGGGAACTGGCGCAGTTCCTGCTTTTCACATCATCAATCTTCGTGCAAATCCTCGTTTTGTGACGACCTGCAGGAGGCCGTTGGGCGCGGTCTTCCCATGTTTGGCATTCCTGTTTGTGCTCCATTGCTCCTCCATATTCTTTTGCATTTGGCTTTGCTTTCCCGCTTTTCGCAGATTTGCAAATTGACATTGAAGAGATTGCCCCGATCAAAGAGTTTGTGAGGTTTCTTTGCAGTCCAGTCCATGACCAGTCCGGTGACCGATCGGACCGATCTCGATGGTCCATCAAGTTGTTCTTTTCCCAGAAGTTGGTCTCCAAGAGATACTCGTGAGTACCTCACTACGATAGTCTCGGTCTTTTTCTCAGAGGTCTATCCCTTGCACGGCTTCGGCAATCGAGGCGCTCGCGGAAAACGATCGCAGCTCCAAACCGAACTTGGCTCCAGATCGAGCCGAGCGATGCTCCACATCGGTATGTAGAGGCGGCAATCTCGAGGCATATGCCAACCAGGACTGTGGACCGTGGGAAGGTTCGGAGAAGGAAAGAGGAAGGTCAGAAGGTGGAGCCCTGAAAAAGCATCGAGCAGATGTTGACTCAGATGTTCCTTGCTGGCTTGATGTTGCATTCTTTGAAAGAAACCAGTGACTGGTTGAGTTGAACCCACTCTGTGTATCGAACAGGGGGTTTTGCATCTCCAAGTTTGGACTTTGTCATTTCACTTGGCACAGAAGCGGCTTCGGCTCAAAAGACACGTGGGCAAGAATGTGATGATCCATTCCGACTGATTTGTAGGATCTATGTGGGCAACCTCGACAAAGACATGCCGCCTGAGAAGGAGGCAGCGGGCACAAGAAGCCGGAAGCTGTACCTTTAAATTCCTTTAAAGAGTATTTAACGATGAAATTTGCTGTGTTACACCTTTAAAGTTGCATGCCTTTGTTATAGAGCTGATAGACGTCTAATAGACGTCCATGTCCATATGTACTCTATACCAACATGTGCCAAAAACTCCACACCTTTCAAGCTGAAATGTCAGCTTGCGCTTTCAGGAACTCGCCCGGAAGTTCAAGAAGTATGGCGAGATGGTAGACGTTTGGGTGTCAAGACAGCCACCAGGCGTCCCGTCGGGATGAAAGGCGATTTTCACGATGAAAGATGCTTGGGCTATGTGCACATTCCAACAAACCCTTGGAAGGCGTTGTTTTTCCTTTACATAGGAGGGTGTCCGTTTTGGTGGATTGGTTTGGCTGGTTCCCCTTCCATGTGCTTGACTTCAGTGGAAAGCCTGGAAAGCACGTCACCGGGTCTTGGTCGAAAGGATTCGCCTTTGTGACCTACGAGACCTACAAGGACGTGGCGGTGCCCAGACTGGCTTGTTTTGACATGTCTTGACATGTCTAGTGGATATACCCCCGGATACGCTCATGTTTGATTGAGATCCAGATTCCGAAAAGGACTGATTCATATCTCATTATCATTAGACACGCCCATGTTTGGTGGGGTCCAGACACTTGATATGACACCTATCAGACCTAACATGGCACCTATCACCTTTGTGGGCCCTGTCCCCTTTCGATTCCTTTTACGCTGGTCATGGTCCTGGTGTCGTTTTTCAGGCCTTGAAGGCCATCGAAGGGATGGACGGGGTGAAGTTCCAGGCGACGGTTTTCGAGCGGCGGATAGCGGATGGAAGCGGCACGAGCGGTCGCAGCCTGGGGAACGGCGAAAAAGGGTGATGGCTTCATATGGCTTCCTATGTTCTGGCATCCAAACCACCCTGAAGACGGGACTCAGAGAGGTGTTGTGAAGATGCCAAGGGCCAAGCCTTGAGCGGAGAACAGTGAAGAACAGTGACACTTGTGGGAAAGTCCATGTTCAACAAACTGTTCAACAATCAAATCCATGTTCCAAAGCATTCGAAGCTCTGTTATATCTATCAATGCATGGATCTACTGGTGAGCCTCTTCAGGTTTCCCTCTACATCCACTCTACATCCCGGAGCTCTGGCAAATCCATTTGATCCGGTATGTTTAACATGTTTTAACATGTTTAACCCTGTTCAACAAAAGCAGCGCCTTGTGGAGACCAGTTGAGTTGCAGCTAGACAAGGTCCTAGAAGTGCTACTCGCTTGCTTCTTTCTGACAAGTTGACTCACATTGACTCACCCTGCTTGCTCATTGCACTGTGCGCATGTGTCGTGGGGGGGGCAGGGCGCACGATAAAAGGCACGTTTAAAATGTGATTCTTAGCATTTGACATTTGATGACATGTGTTTTTTGGATACTCCTAGTCTTGAATTGGCGTACCTTCAATTGGGCATGGAGGTCCTGAACAAGGGCCTAGGTTGGATGTCAAGTCAATGGCTGCCTGGTGTTTTTGGGGTCCAGGTTGTGTGGATGTTGGCAAGATGAGCTGCAAATCCCTATTGCTGAATGTAACATTCCTCAGCGATTCAGCGCTGAAGCGCTGTTTTCTTTGGAGCCGTCGCAAGCCCGGTCCACCGGTCGCCGGACTTAATTAGTCATTAGTCCCTTCGGGAAGCCTGAAAGCATCTGAAAGCACTTGGGGGTCCACCAGTTTCGATTGGAGGGGAAGACCCTCAACATCCAGCTCTCCGTGGGCAAGGGCGGCGGCTTTGCTGGACTGGCCCGCGGCGCCTTTAGGTTTTGGGAGATGAAGTGAAAACAATTGATGACATATTTATTGATGCGTTTACTTTGGAGGTCGTTGTATGACTATACTAACTATATATATATATTTATGATATGATATGATATGATTATGATATGTTATTGTAGGATAATCATGGATGATCATCATGTAACTATTTGGAGAATTGAACAACTTTGTTTTTGTGTGTTTTGTTGTGCCTTTGTCTTTTCCAGTGTGTGTGAGATGGATTTGTTTGCGGCGACCTGCGGCCTCGAAACCGAAAGCCTTCCTTGTGTCCATTGCTTGAAAAACAAATTGGGAAATCACCAGCTCAGGTGGCTCTGGGAAAGCCTTTTACCTTGGCACGTTGAAACGACATGTTCTTCAATCATTTGGGTCGCAGCTGCCGTGGCTTCAGGAGCATCTGCTCAGCCTCCCACCAAACCCAGGCACGGGGGGCCGGACCTCGACTCCACTACCTAAGACCTTCTACTCCACATCCACTCACACAATGTCCTCCTCGAACGAATTGGTTCCTCCTCAGTTGGCTTTTTTTGCATGGTCAGGCGTAGCCCACGCCGTAGTCCCAGCCGGAGGCAGGGTGGCAAGCCGGGTGTGGGGTACGGTGAGGAGAGAGGCTTTTTGATGTGCACTGAAAGAAGCACATGGAATCGAAAAAACACCCGGTTTCTAGAGGAGTTCTCGCTCTTCCAAAGCACCATATTTATCAGACTCTGTGTGTGGTGGCTGGCGTATTTTTCGAGGTTGCATCTCTATACTGTAATTAAACATATTATACATGTGCGTTAGTCAAATACATCGACGTTATATGCATACACAGAAACTGAGTGTTTGGTGTGTCACGGACATTCATGGAGTATTGGTGGACATGGTGGACCGATTCCACCACAGAGCAATGGCTACCAGAATGGCCATGAGTATTGCATGGCAGTATCGTATACCAAGCTGCACCACTAGTATTTCATGGTTCCCAGCAGAACTTTGTCCACACATTCTCAAAGAGCTTTTTTCCTGCGAGGCGCAGCCGGAGCCGGCACGCCAGACGCAGTCCAGAAAGGAGAAGTCGGAGTTGTTGGATGCCGGTGTGATTCAAAGCACCAAAGCCCGTCCTGATTCACTAAAATGTCTCTAGAGAAGTGCTGTGCTGTTCACTAAAATGTCCTGATTCATTTCAAGTCTGTGCTGTCTCAAGAGATGTGTGCCTTCTCTTTGCACCCATCGAGGTGGTCGGATGTGCGGATCCATCCGACAGGCGGCTCAGCATGTCTCGGCTTCGCCCAGGAGACGAAGGGATCGAAGCCACTCCCGCTCAGAGTCCCCAAGAAGGGACAGGTGCGGTTCGGGGCCATGTAAGGGTGATCGACACCCTCTACGGCTCAACACAGGAGCATCAGCATCATTCTACTCCGTATCATGATCTTCCACATCACCTCTATGGAGTATGAAGACACTTGGGAATGAGCTCTCATGGTAATGTTCAAAAGGACGCAACAATGTAAGGCACACTGTCCAAAGAGACGCGACAAACACTTTTTTCCCCTTGTAAAGAGTTCAATGGCCAGCACAATAGGTGTCATCAAGTTTCAGGCAGGCAATCTTCCGTGTTTCGGGGGTCCAAAAGCCAGAGAACTCTCCCCATAGCTAGCCTGAAGAAAGCTATCCTCATAAACAACCCCTCCATACACATCCATACATCAATCTATTTGTTTGTTCACCAAGCTTCTCCAGAACTCATTCGCTTCGCCACGCAGGGGCTCCCCGTCCTATGGCCGGTGAGTGGCGAGGCGAGAGGCGACATGGGGCCTTGATTGGACGTGGGAAGCTGTCAACAAACTCGTTGGGAGTGGCGGGTCTTCTTGTGTTATCTCTATTTGTTTCTTTCCACCGGGTTCCGGGTTCCTCCTTGCTGTGTTCCACCCGATCCACTGCCGAAATGGACCGGCATCCTGGGTGATGGGTGATCAAGGAAGAACAATGGACCAGCAGAAATGAACATGGTCAATGGACATCCATTTCCGAGTACCATTTCGCTGATATGGATGAACATGATGCGAATCTGAATTCAATCAAAGTCAATTCTTTTGGCATTCTTGTGACGTCCCAATGAATGGGAAGTTGCATGCCAGGCATATGAATCGAAGGGGTCAAATAAATCGAACGTGAAACATATTCGTGGGTGAAGATCAACGGGTGAAGAGCTTATTCACCAGGTCCCGGACCGAGAAAGGTCATCGTAAAAGACAGTTCACAAGCTGTAATCATAACATGTGTAATATTTTGTAATTGCAATTGTGTATAATTGTGTGATTTTACTTCAAACTAGTGTAATACAAAGACGCGGAGATGCCCAATTCGACAACTAGGAAAAGGGGGAATGGACTAAACCCAGGGGGTTCACATGGCCAAGCCTCCCCACCAGCACTACGATGTCGAGGACCCTGCCCCGCGAAAGGTGCATGACCAGTTTGACTGGACAGCTACATCAGCAACACAAAGAGCTGGTGAAATGAGTCTAAATCTACGCAGGACAAGCTGCACGGCGCGCGTGCAAAAAGGTCCGGACCATAAGATCATCACAACTGCTCCTGGGGCAACCGGGAAGACCCCTTTTGCATGGTGGGGTTGCAGGAAAAGCATTCATGATGTCCTATCACGTAGATTTAGAAGGTGCAATGTGAACCGGCATGGATTGTTTGCTATAATGTGGGTGTTGGATGGTTTTGGATTGGTCAACCATTTTCCCATGTTGTACGCTCACCTGCACACATAGACCCGTCAGTGGCTCATCATCGCCACTAGACCCTTTGCAATCATATCGACCTCTTGGGGTGAAACCGACGTTAAAAGAAAAAAGGAAAAGGTCCAATTGGCTCACACAATGCTGCCGTGTTGCGGCTGCCACTTTGCTCAGTGTATAGAAAAAAGATGGTGCTGCCGGAGATGAAGAGGCGGCCAAAAGTTCAGGATGGAACATCGCGGGGGAAGGTTGGCCAGAGAACAAGCCACTAGGATTGACACCGAAGCCAAGCAATCAATGAAGTTGAAAGCATCATTTGAGCACAGCCTGCTTCAAATTTCTGAGTCGCAGAAGGTCTATATAGTTATATATATTACATAATATAACAATAATTACAGTACTATCTACGGTATGCGCATTTGCTTGAAGAGAAACAATACTTGAAAGTACTCAAAAACACACGGAATTGGAGGCGACACTGCTTTTTGCTTTCTGAAGCCATTTGCGGCGCTGATTTGCCATGAGCATCAGTGAAAACCCGGCAGCTCGGAAGCCTTGTTGAGCGGAGATCAAGCCTTTGTTGGCCGCACAAAACCAGCACCATGAGCTCCAGCGAAATTTGGGGCCTGCAAGTGCCTGCAAGTGACCTGGTCAGTCAGGTCAGCATCTATTCTGTGGCTCTAGTACAGCTGCGACATTCGAGACGCTTCGTCAGCTCATGTGTTTTCATGTTGGAGGAAGCTCGATCCAACGAACGCGATGCGAAGCACGGCACGAGGTCTCCGACTCGACGACCAAGGCCGTTTTTCGACGAAAATCGACGAAACGGCCGGTGTGAGACTGAGACCGGTCGCTACTCGGGGGTTCACAACATGTCACAACCCCAAGAAAGAATTCGACTATAGTATGATACATAGTATAGAGTATAGTATAGAGAGTATAGTTCGAGTATGTTCCAGTGAAGCTGAGATCAAGTGATACCAGTCGTGAAGGGTAGTTGTGAAGATTTGTGAAGTATTAGTCGAGTCATACCATGTCCTACCGAAAAAGATAAAAAGAGTGACACAGTTCATTGCATGATGCTTCTTCGCCTGACCGAACGGGTGAGCGCTGCCAGGCCTCCTCACCCGTGGGGCCCCCGCTGGCTCCACCCCCCGGTCCGCCGCCACCGGCGACGCCGGTGCCGGCGCCACTGGCAGATCCCAACTTCATCGATCCTTCCTGGGAGGTCAGGTCAGTTAGTCCTTTTGGGATATCCGAGATGAGCACCGATGAACTGCGAGATGTTGTTTCATGTTCATGCTACGTCTGACGTCATGTCCCATGACGCATGGGGGAATTATTGCGTCTCAACAGCAAGCAAAATGGTTGAAAGGTTATGTAAAAAATTGCTTGTGATAATGAATCAGGCTGTCTTCAGCTCAGGTTTTGTCTTGAACGTTAGCTTGATGACATACTGCAATACACAAGACCTACACAGTCTACACCACACCTGTTGGCTTTAGACACCGGCCCGCCCAGCACCGTCGACCGTCGACCTGTCGACACCAGGTGCCTACGGCGGATGAGACGGCGGCGCCCAAGGAGGACGACGGGGAAAGCTGGTTGGAGCTCCTTCGGGATGGCCCCTGCCTTGGCACAGACCGGACGGACTGGAGTGAGGGACCCGACGGCGGGACCCGGCGATGGGAAGCTGTTGACACCTGAACAAGGGTAGAGCAAAGAAGGACGTGGCACCGATGAAACACCACCTCACGACCTGGGTGACTTGGGCGACTTGTTTAATTCTTGTTTTAAGAATATCTTGGGCGATGTGTCACAGACCTTGTCTCAGTGACAGGATAGGAGTGGACCTACTCTCGTGGGCCGAGACGGCGCTCCCGAGGCTACTTTCGGCAGCTGAGGGAGGCAAAGCAGTGGGACCGGAGCACACCTGGGGGGGTAAACATCTTGAAACACGATGTTTATCGTGTTCATTCCTTTTCCCACTCAGAATCTCACAGACTCACATGTGTCTATACAAATTGACACCGCTCCAGCGTTTGGTATTTTGCCCTAAACTCGAGAAGCCGCTCGAAACCTCAAAGTGCATGATGCTGTCCCTTTCTTAAATCCCAGTGAGACATCGAATCCCACACAAATCAATGCCAGAATCAGAGACCAAGATCCTGACCTTCCCATCCTTCCTTCGTTCTGCCAGGAAAATGAATACAAGCAGCCACCTCCCTTCCCTCGTGCCATGCACTTTGCAGCGCTGCCTGGGTGTCTTGGTCGCTTTCAGACCAAAGCTGTGAATGCTGAGAAGCCTCATGGACTGTAAGACATTCTGTCTATTGCTTCAGTAGCAAAGGTTCAAGCAAGATACACCGTCTTAGCACGTTTACATGTTGTTTACTATAAAGATGCTCCATGTTGTTCGTCAAAACTATGGTCTTCAAATGTCTTCAAGACAATTCAGAAATAAAACAAATACTGGATGTAGTTTAATGTTGTTTCGTTGTTGAATCTTTTCTGGAGTATATAGGCTCCAATGACAGAACATGTCAGTAGATTCTCGCTACCCCAATTGCCTCGAGGCATCCAGTGCCTGAGAAGAAATACCCTCGGCAGGCTCTTTCGGGACTTTGATGCATGAGAGATTCTAACAGAGTTGGTGTCCGTTATAATGGTGTCCGAGATGGAGCAAGTTTCTAAACTTCCTATATAGATGTTTGGCTATTAACGTTGGCTCATTTTGGCTCTATTGATTCAACGGAACCTGTTATCGGTTTCTGTTCAACACTGGAAAGACCAACAACCTGCCAGAAGATGAGACAAGGTGTAAGCAGGAAGTGAAGGAACGCTCCCGGATCGTTTCACGTCCGTGTTAGTTCTAGTGCCCTTCTCAAGAGCTGTGCAGCGTGTGGAACTGTTCGAGGCCTTGGAGCAGCAACGGGAAGTTCTGCGAAAGCCGTGGCCCGAGATCATTGGCACCGAGCTGTCAGACGTGGTGCAGGAAAGCGCCCAAGCAAATAGGGAGCTGTCGATCTCATGGTCCAAGCAAATAGGGAAGATGAAAATGCGGAACCTGTTGAGCCTGGAAACGCCATCCGCTGACGGAAAGCACCGGAAGGATGGCATCCGACAGGTTTAGACCAGATCCGCCTCCTCCGAAGCGAGGAGCTTAGTGGCGTGCGTTTCGCAAAAGGAGCCGTGGTGAGCGACAAGGACATGCTCAAATGATTAAATGCTGTCCATTTGATCCATTTTCTGTATTGTGAGATGCGAGCATCACCGAATCACCCCCTTGTAAATGCATCATCCGCATAGAGTTTAGGTGTTTCATGGTTTTGGCGTCCTCCTGGTAGTCTCAGAGCTGTTTTTTTTTTAGCAGGGACAACGTGTGTGGTTTTCAATAGTCTGACACTTTGATCGAGAACCAGGAGACCCAGGAAACATGTTTGTAGGTTCGAGGGCGCAGGAAACTTGAGCTGTCGACTTTTCTCATTCACGTCGTGGTTCGTTTGGAGTCTGCCTTGGATTGTGGCGACATTCCAAGGGGAAAGAGCTTTGGCAAGGGTGGCAAAGGAATGGCAGGGGCCCTGGCGTGGCCTTGGCCTTCGTCCCATGGTTGAGGTCTCACGTTTCGTTTCAGCCTTCACAAAGTCACCGAACCATCAAAACATCAAAGATGAGGCTTGATAGTTTAGTCTGTGTAGCATGACAGGTGCATTGACACGCTGCGGCGGTCTCGAAATCGATTCGGTGGTCTCGACATCGAGATTGATTCACAAGCAAGGTCACAGTTCAAGTGCACAGTTTGGAACTGTTGGAAGATCTTGGAACCAAAAGTCTTTACAGAAAAAAAACTCCATGACCGGAATCCATGACTCCATACACATGCAGTCTAAGCGGTGTAAGCGTGAGCCGTTCTTGTCACCCAGCGGGTTTCGCTGGTTCAGGTAGCTACCATGTGTAGCAGAACGTCACGAAATGATGCAACCGGTTTGCCGCAGATTCTGTTTTTGTTGGAACCTTCGAGGCGGTGAGCATGTCATGA